ATTTCCTAGCTATATGTAAATGAGCAAGTTATTTCAACCTTCTGAGCCTCGGCTTCTTCATCAGGGTCATAGTTCGCACCTCAAGGTTCAGTTAATGTCTCCAAAATTTTTACACCAGTGTGGGACATCTAGCAGACCATTTGACCCATGAATAAGGCAACCACTGCCTGTCTGGTGGTATGTTGTGTTGTTTCTGGGTATTGAGGACATAGCAGTGAATCACAGAGATCTTGCCCTGCAGAAGTTCCGAGTTTAACAAAAGAAGACACAGAAAATTACAACATAATACTACTACATGTACTATGGCTGAGGTATGAAAAAAATGTCACAGGAACATACAGATGGGAACAACCCACTTTGCCTAAAGGGGGTCAAGAATGGCATCATAAAGAAGGAAGTTAAAAGGATGAGGAGGAAGTAGAGAAGACATTCCAAGCGAAGGGAACAATGATAGAAGGCATTCAGAATACACAGCGTGTTGTAGTCTAGCAACGACCTTTGTGAGGTGGGTAGAAACCAGAGGGGTCAGAGAAATTAATGTCATTCTAAGGAGACTGGGGTTTATTTTGAAGATGAGGAAAGGTAATGGAATGCAAGAAAAGAGGAAACTTGTGTTTCTGTTGTCACGTCCTCTTTGCTAGCACCGTAGGACAGAAACGAAAGGCACAAAGACAAAGGGACCCGTAACGTGAGTAAGCAGGGTTAGCAGAAAAGGGAATGAAGGCTAATAGCAGGCAAGGAAGTGGGAGAGCTGTACACTAAAATTTTGGTGATGGCGTTTCTGGCGGCTTTGCAGGTGGCGCCCAGCATTACCTAAAGGTGACAGCCTCCCATTACTGGGCTGGCTCCTCAGGGCCCGCAACTCCGCCTCTCCTCAAGTCCCCGCCCCCGTCCTCCGCCCTGCGCCCTCCGCCCTCCAGAGGACCCGTTGTCAGGGCCACCCCGCAGCGCCGCCCCTAAGCACTGGGCCCCGCCCTCACGCCAGGTGCTGTCCGGCCGCCGGCACAGGTACGTTTCTCCGATCTCCACCGTGACTTCTGGCTCGCCCCGCGCTGGGGTCGGCGGAGAGACGCGGCCCGGGGATGGGGCTGTTCCCTCGACCGCCGCATTTTCCCCAGGGCCCAGCTCGCCCTCTCCCACGGCCCCCGAAGTCGCTGCTGCAACTGGCGCAGCTGCCCCCTGTGCCGCCATGGCGGTAGCGGAAGTGACGCTAGAGTCCCGCGCCGCACAGCCCTTTAGCTCCGGGTCGGAGAGGCGGGGCCTCAGGCTCTGGGTGGGTCTGTGACGTGGCAGGAGGTTATAGGTCCCGGGGCGGCCCGAGGCGCTGCCGCTTCTGGGAGGGGAATTTAGAAGTGTCCTGAATTCATTTTCGGAATGGTACTCGGCTGCTCCCGAGAGCAGAAGAGACAGACTTTCCTTATGTGACGACACACCTGATTTTTTTTTTTTTTTTTTTTTGGTACCGGGGATCGAACTCGGGACCTTGCGCTTGAGCGGCAGGCGCCAGAACCACTGACCTAAATCCCTGGCCTGGTTTTTTTTTGTTGTTTTTTTTTTGGTACTGGGGATCGAACTTGGGTCCTTGTGGACGTCCAAGCGCCGGAAGCACTGAGCTAAATCCCCGGCCCCACATCTGATTTTTTGAAAGGTCCGATGGTGTGGAAGCCAAGATGTGTCAATTTTCAGGGCCGCTGTCCTCTCTAACAGGCGGAATCAGCGTGTCCCCAGGGGCCTGGCGCAGGATTGAACCTGGAATGCTAATCCCCTTCTGCCCCGCTTTACCCACCGCGCCTGCTTAATACCTATTTCTAAGTTGAAGACTGCGCCTCTTGTTTATTTGGTACCAGGGATCGAACTCGGGACCTTGCAGTTGCAAGGCAGAACCACTGAGTTAAATCCCCGGCCCTACTGCGCCTCTTGTTGAGGGTGGGAAAAAAATACACCTGGGGTGGGGAAAGAACAGGTGTGTCCAGGAGTAGCCAATAAATTATCCTCAGAATAAGCTTTTCAGGATAAAGGTGTTGTTTAACAGTGCCTAGCAATGCAGTCTGGCTGGCTTCGAACTCCTCATCCCCCTAAGTGCTGGAATTACAAGTAGGAGTCACTAAACCTAGCAAAATAAGCATTAAAGAAAGGACGGGGCAGTGGATACAATAAAGAGCATCTTAGCAATGAGTGAGGTTTAGTTCTGATCCCACCCAGGGTAAGGTGGACACTAGTGTAAATTGCCGACAATCAGCAAAGGTTTTTTGTTTTTTGAGACAGGGTCTCACTCTGTAGTTCAGGCTGGCCTTGAACTCTATGTAGCCTAGGCTGTCCTCGAACATGCAGTGATCCTCCTGCCTCAGCCTCCTGAGTGCTGGGATTACAGCCATGAACCATCATGCCCAGCCTCAGCAAGGTTATATGTATATATGTGTATAATTAATTAATATGTATGTAAATTATATAGTTAGGAAGTATACAAGTATGTAAATCATATAACTACGAGAAACTTTTATTTGTATATAAACTGAGCAGTGAGACCAGATCTCAAGCCCAACTCCCTGGTTAATTTCACATGACCCTTGTCGTTCACAATAATCAGGTGAAGTATAATGATCTTTGTTCTTTTTTTTTTTTTTTATCTTTGTTCTTGAGATGTACAGAACTGGCAAACATCTCTTGACTGGGCATTAGGATTCTATGTGTCACCAACCCTTACCTGTGAAAGTGTGCATCAACCACCCATTTCCTATCCAAACTGTCCCTGAGTGAACATCCCAGTAAGACGGCTTTTCAGGGACAAGAATCACTGCTATCTTCTAATCAGCTCACTTGTAATAAGGTTCTTTCTCAGCCAGGGATGGTGGCACATGCCAGCATACCAAGTACTCTGGGAAGCTGAGACAGGAGGATCACAAGTTCTGGTCCAGACTGAGCAACATAGTGACTTAGGGAGACCCTGTCTCAAATAATAAAAAGGGCTGGAGAAGTCAGGTATGATGGTGCATTCCTGTAATCTCAGCCCTCAGGAGGCTGAGGCAGGAGGACTACCGAAAAGTCAAGGCCAGGCTGGGCTACATAGTGAGTTCAAGGCCAGCCTGAACTACACAGCAAGACCATCTCAAAAACGGCAAAAAAAAAAAAAAAAATGCTGGAGATGTAGCTCACTGTAAAGGTCCTGACTTCAAGCCCCAGTACCAAATAAGTAAAATAAAGTTCTTTCTTTCTCTAATACTGCCTTGCCTCTATACAAATGTGTGGCCTAGTGCCAGGCAGAGCATGTACTTAATTAAACATTTGCTTTAGCCCAAAGTTATTTATAATTTGGCTGTTGGGGTTCAAAACAGAAACAATTCTAAGAGGGATAGAATGCTCAGGGCCTGAAGATGGGGCTCAGACAGTTCAGGAAATATCCAAGTTAGCTATCTGTGAGGAATGCCAGTGGGAGGGGCTGGTTACCTAGTTTTGGGAATGAAGGACTTGGGGGTGGGGAGTGAATGCTAGATATTGTAGCATAAGAAGAAATAAGAGGTGGGCTGGGGATTGCTTGGCAACCATGAAGTCCTGAGTTCAATCCCCAGTACCAAAAAAAAGAAAAGGAAATAAATTTGTAATGCCTTCTCCCACTCCAACTGCCTATCTTCAGAATTCTTACTTCACTTACTTGGAGTTCTTCTGCTTCACTTTATTTCATCTGACATCTCCAATTACAGATGATGTCCAATCTAGGATTAGCCTAAACCTTATAAATCTCGGATCAGGCTCACTGCATTGGCCTATGCTCCCTCCAATCCAGTGGCCAGCAGTTCTAATGTGTGATCTGACTGGTCCTCCCAGAATTACACAGGGCTGGGGCCAGGCCCCTTTTTGTTGTTGCATGTGCCTAGATTACCTCTGATGTTCTTCCAAAGGGCTCCGAGGCATAGCTGAGCAGCTCTGGACTCTGGTGGTGTTTCTTTGGCAGTACTTCGGATTGAAGCTACCCTTCGCACAAGGCTTGGCAAGCGCTCTCTCAGCCACACCCTAGCCCTGGCTCCAGACTTTTACCTGAGATCACATCCTTCCTTGGCTTCTCCCCGACCCTTTCCTGCCTCCCATACAGCCATCTGGAAGCACTTTCTTTACCATCCTCTGTAAATTCTCCTATCAGAGTTGACTTCCAGGGAACCTGGCCTGAAACATCCCTTCCTAGCTTAAAACCCACCTGTGAATCCCTACTACCTCCAGGATAACACCATGCTTCAAGCGCTGTGCCTTCTAATTGCTGCTTAGCTTTCCAGTTGCACCTCTCCCAGCTGATTTCAGCACAGCAAAGCATCATGGCTCCCCACCAACTGCCATTTGCCCTCCAAAAATAATATCTCCCCTCAACCCCATCTCCATCACCTTGAAGAGCAAGAGGCCGTGTAGACATAGTGTCTTTCCAGTCCCACCAGGCAGCTCCTCAGGCCTTTGTCCCTGACGAGGTGGGTAGGGTGTTCCCCACTGAGATGTTCCCTGGAGTCCTCACTAGAAGTTCTACCTGGAGTCTAACCTCGAGCCCTTTCCTTTAACCCAAGTTCCCGGCTCTCCCTACCAGGGCCTACCTTCCTCTTGTGGAGCACTCAAGTCTGTGTGTTCCTTTTCTTGGCAGCTGGCAGGCAGTATTTTTAACCTTACTTAGGCTCAGGAGGTTCATCTCTAAAACCTGTCACTGCCTAAAGGGAAGAGTCAGAAATAGAGCTGGAAGCTAGGTCCACCTGGGCCTTCAATGCTGTCCGGGACCCAGAAACATCCATCAAATTGGATGAATATAAAAATAAAATAAATTGGATGCATAAAAGATCTTTGCATAAGCTACCAAAGTCACCTCCCTTCTGCCAAACAGGCAAGACTTGGAGCTCGTACTGTTCCTGTCCGCCAGGCAGTCAGGTCAGTTAGACTAGGACATGAACCTCTTAAACCCAAGGACCCAGGAAGCCTGAAAGGGCAGAAACTAAAGCTCCCCTGCCCTCCCCACAGACAGGGCCCAAGAGGACATTCAGAATGTGAACTTTAATAACAAACAGCAGGCCAAATAGGGGTTCCCCAGGAATGAGAATGACAGAGCTGGTGCTAGAGCCCCAGAGGTCCCCGCTTCCTCCCCTCCATGGCCAGGAGGTGAGGAGCCAGCGGGCTCTACTGAGGGGTGGCACTCAGCTCCGTGTAAGTCCATTTGGCTGGGGCCTAAAGACCCAAGGTGCAGCAGTGTGTGGAGCAGAGTGCCACTGTGCCCAGCCCAGAGGTCTTGGCAGCGTATGTGGCCCAGCCTAGGCAGGCAAGCAGGCCAGGGGTCAGATTCGGAAGCTTTCCTCCTGGCCATCGATGTGTCGGAGCCGCAGGTAGACGTCTGTGCCAATCCCCTGCAGGGACTGCAGCTGTAGGGAACCACCGAGGTACTCTGCGTAGGCCCTTGATGTGGGCAACCCAAAGCCAAAGCTGAGGGAAGACAGGGACAGCACAGGAGGCTTCAGAGGCCAGAGTCTCCTGGGCTCACCCCCACCCCGAGCCTGGCCAGGTGGGACCTCACCCATGCATGGGTCCTGACTGGCTGCCACTGTGCATGTCCAGATGCCCAAAGAGGGGGCTGATACGGGGATCCTGGGTGCTCGCCTCCGCTGTAGTGAAGTGGTAATCCATGACCCGATCCAAGTTTGTATGAGCAATTCCTCCACCCCGGTCTGAAATCCTGGCAGGGTGTTGACAGCATGGGCTTGGCTCAGGCTTACCAGGTCTGACTGCCTCCCAAGCAGACAGCACTAAGTCTCACATCCTGTGCCTTCCACCCAAGGCAGAACGTAGTCCATCTTGACACTGGGGCCTGGTGTGTTTAAGCTGCCTCTCTCCATCCCCCCTCCCCCTCCGCTTGGGCCACTGACTGCTTATACTATCTCACAGGATTTGCTGTTTATCCTCAGCCTAGCCGCAAAGACTGGTTTTCCAGGGCTGGGGATATAGCTCAGTAGTTCTGCCACCTGCCTCGAAAGCTCAGGGACCCAAGTTTGATCCCAGTACCAGAAAAAGAAAAAAATAAATAAAGACTGGTTTTCCAAGTCCAGGCCCCTCAGTTGCTGACAGAGGCAGGGTGCTGGGCCCACAGCTGGCCCAAAGCCATTATTGTCCGGGCCATGGCAATCTCAGGACCCGAGCCTTCTGACCAGGGCCCTCATTCCAGAGTGGGGAAGGTACTGGCTCAAGGTCCTAAGGCAACGCAGAAACAGTGCCTGGACCCACTGCCCTCTACCCCTGCCCACTTCCACTGCTCAGGCCAAACCTGATGATGAAGTCGATATCATTATTAGCGATGGTGATGACCACATCTGGAACATTGTAGGGAGTGTCTAGGTGACTCTCCATCGTGGCTCTATACAAGAGATAAAGACAGTAGGTGGTGGCACCTGGTTCCTGTCTGTCCCCACCCACATGCCTGGCCTGCCCACCTCATGGCATTCTTGAGCAGCTCAGGCAGGATGTAATCCAGTGGCATAGGGATGAAGGGAAAGCGGGCGGCCACATGCCCATTGATTCGGACTCGGGGGGCACCGCCATACTTGTGTTCACACAGGCGTCTGTGGACAGCAGAAGGGTTCAGACTGGTACCCTTAGGGTAGTGCTTCTCATCTGGTGGCAGTTCTGCTCCTCTTAGGCGCAGCTGGCACAGTATGGAGTGTGCTGCTTGGCACACCTGGGCGTTATTACTGATATGGAGTGAATAGGAGCCAGGGGTCTTACAGAACACCCTAACATGCACACTGCAAAGAATTATCTGGCTTAAAATGCTAATGGAGCCAGCCAGGTAGGGGGGCATATGTCTGTAATCCCAGTGGTTCAGGAGGCTGAGGCAGGATGTCAAGTTCAAGGCCAACCTGGGCAACTTGGTGAGTTCTGTCTCAAAAAATAAAAAGTACCGGGCCGGGGATTTAGCTCAGTGGTTTTGCCACCTGCTGCACAAGCGCAAGGACCCGAGTTCCATCCCCAGTACCAAATAAATAAATAAATAAAATAAAAAGTACTAGGGATACCACTCGGTGGGAAAGTCCTTGGTTCGATCCCCAGTACCAAAAAAAAGTACCGCCATGGTTGAGAAACACTGCCTTCCTCTGCACCCCAGACAAGGACTCAGACCTCAACCCTCCCTGTGCAAAGATCCACCCCCTTAGCCAGGAGAGCCTCACCTGGCAAAGTCCACCCACTTCTCAATAATCTTCTTTGGTGACAGACGAGTGCAGATGATGCCGACAAAGTCCAGCTGGCAGAAGAAAGAAGGTCAGGACTAGTAAGCCCCCCATCCGCACTCTGGCTGCCAAACGCTTGCAACTTCGGGAATGCCAGAGCAGCTTCGTGGGGCTTCCGCTGCGGCCCCTGAAGCGGGGACCCCTGGCCCAGCTTTCTCACCCAGAGCCCCACCTTGTCCTCATGCAGAGCCAGATGATGAGTGGCCAACATCCGGATCCCAAGTCTTGAGGTCAATGTCTTGTCCAGGAAGTAGCGGACAAGCTTTTCACCCTGTAAAGAGTGCGGCCTCAGTCACCCTGTGCCCTGCCCAGCCCCTACTTTTCCAGGCCCCTACTTCACTGCCCAGACCTCTATGTGTTTGCGGCACTCACGAAGGCCCTCAGCTAAGAGGGTCACCACATCCTTATGGTCATCTAGCAGCTGTCGCACCAGCTGGCAATACTGGGCTTCATCCGCTTGGTCCTTGATCTGCAGGTCACAGAGTCATGAGCACATGTGGTCCAACCCTGGCCTCTCGGCCCCTCACCCTGCTTACCCCAGCCTCACCGGAGGGAAGTCTGTCAGCTTCTGGAAAGCACGGATGTACAGCTCATGCTGCAAGAAACGAGTAGAAGCTTTCACGAGGCGGCCACGGGACTGGGTAGAGAACACCTACCCGGGCCTAGCTGGGGATCACCACCCAACCCAACTCCGAATGGTCTCAGCCCCACTGTGACCTTTCCACATCCATGAATATGTACCCTTGGCCTCCGAAGGCTTGGGGCTGAGTCCCATGTAGCCTGGCCCCACCCATCAGCAGCCCAGCCTCTGCCCCTTGGCCCGTGTCCTCTCTACCTTACCACATGCAGGATGGTGGGGTTGCAGCCGATGATGAAGGGTAGGCTACGGAAGCCCTTGACGCGGTGAGCGATCCTTACTGGCAGCTCTTGCTGCAGGTACCGGCCACTTTTCTGTGAGACACGGGCAGGCAGGGGCAGGGCCTGAGTGGCTGGCCATTGCTCCAGGAGCCCCGGGGAAAAGAGGGAACAGGAATCTTACCAGAAGGTGGCTGCCGTCTTGGGAGCGGCCGGAATAGAGCATCATGGTTGGAGTGAGGCGGACAGAGGGCTGGAGGGGTAGACAGACCTGGAGCCCTGGTCCTCAACACCCGCCCCCATCAGTCCCGCCCCTCCCGACACCCACTCCTGCCGGACCCCTCCGCGCACCTTCTCCGCCGCCACGTCTATGGCTGACTGGTTGTAGAAGGAAGTGACAGTCTTGGAGCGCTCCCGCGCCATCTCCATACGGTGGGTGTCGGTGGCCGAGGTGGAGCGGGCCCGCGGCGAGAGGACGGGCCCCAGGACGGGCCGAAGAGAGGACAGGCCCCGAGGGCCGCCACCCAGCACCGACGCCAGGGTCATCGCCCGCAGCGTCGCCGGCCTGGGCCGCCACCGGGGCTGAGAAACGCCGCAGAGTGCGGGCGGCCAGGGGCTTCTCCCGGACTTCAGGGGCGCGGGTCCGACGAGATGAGCCCCGGGAGAGCAGCTCCCATCTGCTGGGGCGGGGACCGCGGCTCATTAGGGTCCGGGCCCGGACGACCCGCGCCCTCTGCGCGTGGGCAGCAGGACCCATCCTCGGGCCCGGGCCGTCTCTGCCTCCGAACACCGTCCGCGCCCGCCCGCCTGGCTGCGCGCGCCGCAGCCCGGGGCGCCGTCCGAGGCCCGCGGCGGGCCCAGAGTCCGGCCCGGCCCCCGTACGGCAGGGACCTCGGTCCGAAGCTCTGCCCGGTGACTCTACTTACCGCGGGGCCGGCCGGGTCCGAGCGGAACCGCCCAGTTGACCGGCGGGGGTAGCCGGGACGCTGCGCCCTCTGCCGCCGTGACGCGGGCTGTGGCGCCCGGGGCCTCCTGGGAGCTGTAGTTCGGCGCTGAGGACTCGCGCCCCGGCTCCAGCCCGTCCTGGCTGTGTGCCCGCTCCGGGACCTCCCTCCCTGAGCTCCCGAAGTAACCCGCGGCCCGAGAGTCTGTCTTCTGCTCAATCAAATGAGAACCCTGGGAGCAAAATGCCAGATAGCAGGAAGGCCCTCGGGTGTAAAGCACACAGATCAAACTCTGCCTGATTCCTTCTCTGAGGTCCCACCCTTTTGCCAGCTCTAGGCTGGGGACCTAGACTGCCTCGTTCAAGCCCCAGCTTGGACCCTTAATACCTGAGGCAGGTTAAGGAACTGCTTGGTGCTTTCATCTTGGTACTGATGAGAATTCACAGTGTTAAATTTGGACCACAATGAATTGCATATGGAAACTGCCTGCAACCGTGCCAGGCACGGAAGTCGAATTGCTAGGTGTCAGGTGCCGGCCTGAGGTGAATTCCAGTCACCCTGAGCGGCTTAAGCCGGTGAGGGAGGGCGGATGGTGAAGCCCAAGCAGGCCACCTGCACCCTGAGGAGAAAGATGGTAGGTGTAATCAGCTGTGACAAGGCCTCAGGGCTGTGGCCCGGGAAGGCCTAGGAGCCTGGTGCCGCTGCAGCATGAGTAGGACTTGGGGCGGCAAGGGGGCTGGAGCAGGAGAGTGCGGCAAGCTGAAGAGCGGCCTGGATGCTCGGGATGCGGCTGGAATGGGTGAGAGGAGCTGTGTGGCCAGAAGCTCATAAAGGGCGAGTTCGGTAGGCTGTGGGCTCTGCTCCTTAGAACCCTCTGCTGTACTGATTGGCAGCACGGAGGACGGCGGAACAAAAGCAGGGACCAGTGGAAACGGCAGGCAGAATACAGCTCTTCCTCTTCTCTCTTCTGCTCCTTCTTTCTTCCTCCTCCGATTCTCTCTCCCTCTCCCTTCGTCCCTCTCTGCCGCCTTCCTTTCCTTCCTATACTGGATTTTCATTACACTAGTTACAGAGTTTTCCAAATACTTACATTTTTTAAAAGAAAAGTAAGCTGGATTTGGCAAAGAGAGGATCAATAGCCTAGCCTGAGCAATTTAGTAATTTAAGGAGACCCTGTCTTAAAAAAATAAAATAGGGGCTGGGATTGTAACTCAGTGAGAAAGTTCTGGATTCAGTCCCAGTACCATGAAGTAGGGGCATCTTTGGAGGCTGTCTTTATTTTTTGCTGTACCGGGAGTCGAACTCAGGACCTTGCACTTGCAAGGCAGGCTGGCACCACTGAGCTAAATCCCCGCCCTCCCCCCTTTTCTCTCTTTTTTTTAGACAAAGAACTCTATAGTTCAGGGTGGCCTTGAACTCGTGGTAATCCTCCTGCCTCAGCCTCCGGGGTGCTGGATTATAGGCGTGCACTACCACGCCCAGGCTTGGAGGCTGTTTGTAGACCGGTGGTGCCCGGTGGTAGGAGCCTGGCCGTCAGGGCTGGCCTGTCTGAAGAATCGGGGCAAGGTTCACACAGATGTTGGGAAAGGCACTCCCCAAATTCCGGGGTTTCTTCCTGGCACACCCGCACGTTCCTACCCCTTCTTCCCCAAGTTCCTGGGGGAAAGCCAGGACATCGCCGGCTCTGGGGGCAGGCACAGCTTCGGCACGAGCGGGAGACAAAGACCGGGGCTCCGGGAAGGAAGGGCAGCCTCCGCCAGGTGAGAGGACTCAGGGGGCTTGTTGTGCTGCAAAACTCTGCGCTCACGCGTGCGCGGCGTGGACAGAGCCGCGCGGGCAGGCGTCTGGTAAGGCCTCACCCGGGGTGACCCGGGCGGGCCCTTGCTCGGCCTGAACTCGCTGCTGCCCCCGGAGGCGGAGACGGGCCCTTCGGCACGCGCACCTGCGTTTAGAGCCCTGCGGATAGGGAGTTAGCGGTGGTCAGGCATTGTTCTAGGCGCATTGATTTGTCTGTATAATCACTCTCTGAGGTAGGCGCTATTTTTCTCTTCATTTTACAGATGCAAGAACGGAAGCCTAAGCAGCGGACGGTGGCGGACCTCTGTAATGCCAGTGCTCTGGGAGGCAGAGGCAGGAGGATCACAAATTTGAGCCCAAACTGGGCAATTGAGCGACTTAGCCAGACCCTGTTTCAAAATATATGGGAAAAGAGCTGCGGATGTAGCAATGGAAGAAAGGACAGAAGGAAGAAAGGACAGAAGGAAGAAAGGACAGATATAAATGATTGGACTGTATTGTAGAGCTATTGAAGTGGGATGCTATGTCCAGCGTGGTGGTACACATTTGTAAACCCAGCTACTCGGGAGCCTGAGTTGGAGGATTACAAGTTGGAGGCCAACCTGGACAATTTAATGAGACTCGGTCTCAAAAAATAAAAAAGGGGCCCAGGATTTAACTCAGTGGTTTCGCCGCCTGCTGCGCAAGCTCAAGGACCCGAGTTCGATCCCCGACACCAAAATAAATAAATAATAAATAAATAAAGGCAGCGTGACAAAAGCGCACTTTGGTGGGGGGGACGACACTGAGACCAAACCCAAGGCTTCATGCAAGCTAGGCAAGAACTATATTGGCACATCTTCATCACTCTGGCAGCTAGATGGAGAATGGGTCTCGAGGCTGCAGGACAAGTGTATTTGGGAGACCAGTGAGGAAGCTACTGCAGGTATTTAGGTGAGGAGTGATGATGGCTTGACCACGGTAGTCTACGAAGCCTGAGTGGGAGTAGATAGTCCAGGCCAGGTGGCTTGTGGAGCCATGCCCACCCCTTTCTGAGATGCTGGGGATTGAATTCAGGTCTTTCACACTGAGGTATATCCCCAGCCTTTTTTATTTTGAGACAGGATCTTGCTAAATTGCACAGGTTGGGCTCAAACTTATGATTTTCTTTTTTTCTGGTACTGGGGATCGAACTTGGATCCTTGCGCTTGCGGGGGCAGGAGCTAAATCCCTGTCCCAGGTTATGTGTTTTTTTTTTCTTTTCTCTTTTTTAATGCACATGCACACGTGTCTCTGTGTGTGTGTGTGTGTGTGTGTGTGTGTGTGTGGTACTGAGACTGAACCCAAGGCCTTCACACTGATCTATATTTCCATCTGTGTTTATTTTATATTTTATTTTATTTTGAGACAAGGTCTCAGTGTCTCAGAGTAAAAGAGGAAGGAAGGAGGACTAAAGGTTGGGCAATTTCTATTCTGCTGCAGCCTCCGAGAGTGCTGGGATTACACATATGTACCACCGCACTAAGCTAAGGGTTCAGTTTTGAGTGTGTTGATCTAATAGGCCTTTGAGACATTCAGATGATGACATCCAGGAGGTGTTTCTAACAACAGTTGAGCCCAGGAGAGAGATCTGGACTTGGGTCAGAGCTTGGAAGTCATGACCTATAGGTAGTAAGAGGGGACAAAGGAAGAGATAATGTTGCCCCCTGAGGCAGTTTGTATTTTCCAAAGATGGTCCATCCCATGTGAACTTCTTACGATATAACTTTGATACTTCTTGCATTAAGACATGGGCATCAACCAGCTGAGTGGTACATGCCTTTAATCTCAGCAGTCATCAACACTGCAGGAAGTTGAGGCAGCAGGATTGCAAATTGGAGGTCAGCCTGAGGATTTTAGTGAGATCTAGTCTCAAAACAAAATAAAAGGAGGGTGGAGCAGTAGTTCAGTGGTAGAATGCCTGCCCACCATGTGTAAGCTCCTGGTTTCAATCTTCTGTATTGAAAAAAAAACTAAATAAAAATTATCTTCCAGGGCCAGGGATTTAGCTCAGTGGTTTCACTGCCTGCTGCGCAAAGGCAAGGACCTGAGAGTTGGATCCCCGGTACCAAAAAACAAAAAAAATTATCTTCCCAAATTCTTAATGCATAATGCATTCTTAGTGCTACAAAAGAGGGAGTACTATTGTTATTGTTCTAACCATTTATTTTGTGGTGATTAGTGATGTCATCAGTGGTCACTCATTTGTACTCTCTTCGAACACTGAACAGGGCTGACATGGCCCAATGGGATAAAGCAGAAAGGTTGAGTCAGAAAGGCACTGTGGCTTCTATTTTGTTCCCTGTGAGATCACTCATTCTAGGGGAAGCCAGCGATAGATGGAAGCTTCCTAGGAGACTGCAGAGAGAGAGATAGAGAGAGAGGACTAGAAACAGCTATGAATCCCAGTCCTCTGTATTAGTTTCCAGGTGCTGCTATATCAAATTACCACAAATGTAATGGGTTACAATTATACAAATTAATTTTCTTACAGTTCTATAGTAGTTCAAAGTCTGCTACAGGTTTCACTGGGCTAAAATAAAGATATCAGTAGTTCCTTTCTGGGGACTCTCAGGAAGCCATTTCCTTGCTGTTTCCTGCTTCTGGAGGCCCCCAACATCCCCTAGCTTGTGATTTCTTCTGTGTTTTTCTGTTTGTTTGGTTGGTTTTTTGGTACTGGGGGTTGAACTCAGGTCCTTGTGCTTTCGAGGCAGGCAGCAGAACCACTGAGCTAAATCCCCGGCCCTTCTATGTCTTTCTGCTGTAAAAGTAATCTCTCTCTTCTGCCACCCTCTCACTTTAAGGACTCTTGTGATTACATTGGATCAGCCATTAATTCAGGATAACTTTTTAAATCAGTAGATTAGCAATTTAAATTCCATCTGCGACTTTAAATCCCTAACAGTCACATGTTCCAGTTAATAAGACATGGATGTTTTGGGAGACCATTATTCCACCTACCACCTCCTGGAATAAGAGAAATAGATCTGAGAACAGCTATAGAGGGAGGGCCTGCAGGAGAGGGGAACATCACGGTGCCAGAGGAAAAGAGAGGTCACAGGAGAGAGTGTGCAACAATGACTAATGCTATTGGGAGGTCGAGCAAGCTGAGACTTGAAAATATCCACTGAGGGCTGGGGGTTTAGCTCAGTGGTTCCGCCGCCTGCCTCGAAACCACAAGGTCCAGAGTTTGATCTCCAGTACCAAAAAGAAAAAAACCCACTGGATTTAGCATCTTGGTAACCTCACCACTAATTGCCCAGGGAGGTGTCTGGAGGTAAAAGCTTGTTTATGAAATGGGCAGCAAGGGAGAAGTGAGGAAGCAGAGGACAGGAATGTAAATTTTACCTCACACCTTGGCTGGGAAGGAGGGATAAGGGTAATAGCAGGGAGCTGCCGAGGTCCTCTTAGCCAAAGGAGATTTGTTGCTGTTTCTGAAACAAGAAGAAGCAAGTTTCCATGCAGATGGGAAGGATGGAGAGTTTGAAGGTATGGAAGAGATGGGTCTTCAGTAGACGCAGTTGTCTGTAAAGGGGAGTGTGGAAAGGACGGACTGTTGGGTTGATGCAAACTCAAGTTTTTCCACGGGGCGCCACAACAGTACAAAGGTTGGGAAACTGTAAAAGGTGTGGCCACGGTGACCGAATTTTAGGGAGAGAAAACCTCGCCTACTGAAAGCACTGGTGAGGCGGGAAGAAATGGCTGAGTAACCCGGGGGATAGAAGGCTGGAGCCCCAGCCGTGTCTGAAACAGTCATTCAGGGCAAATGCTTGTCTCTTGAATCGGATCTAGGTCGTGGATGTGCCAATATTTAGAACAGGGCTGGCAGAGAAAGCGCTAACTGCTGTTGGTGACGTTAACCCTACTCCGTTTCCCTTGACGCCTCGCAGCCTCTCCGACTACAGTTCCCGTCAGGCCACAGCCGCTCTGTCTAAAATGACGCACCTACCGGGGTCGGTTCACAGCCCCACCATTCCCCGCTCGTTGCCTCCTCCCAGTGGCGTCGACTGAGTGCCGAGACTAGCCAATAGGATCAGGGAGTACGAACCTGGGCCGGCCAATCACCAAGCCGGGGAGGCGAGGAGGGCGGGGCCCACAAGACCCGGCCCGCCCGCGGCGGGTTCTCCGCCACCTGGCGCCTGGGCGGGGCCTGCAGAGATGGGCTCCACCTGGAGGAACCCCGGTTGGGTGCGGCTGGGCCTCTGCGTCGCGGGCCTGGTGCTATCTTTCTACGCGCTGCACGTGAAGGTGGCGCGCGCCCGAGACCCAGACTATCGCGCGCTCTGCGACGTGGGCACCGCCATCAGCTGTTCTCGCGTCTTCTCCTCCAGGTGCGCGCGGAAGTGGAAAGCATGGGGCTTTGGGGACCAGGTGTACAATGGCAGCCAGGTTGCCGGATGATTTTGGAGTCTGAGATCAAAGCCCTCGGGCAAGTACACTCTGAAGGTTGACTGCTCCAGACGGTGTGCGCAGAAGCTGGGCCACTCGGACATACTGGTGTTCAGATGCATGTCGGGCAGGGGGCAAGGATTCTGGGGAATCGCACGTGGACCCGAAAGCCGAGGAATAACGGTGGACAGGAACGGGGGAGGTAGGGTAAGCACAGAGACTGCTGATGGGGCCAGGACCGCGCGCGAGGGAGGGGGTGGTGGGTGTTGGAGAAGGCTGTGCCCGAGGACAAGGTAGCTATATCTGAGTGTGCTTGTGAGTCAGGGGCTTGGTGGTTAGTGGAATGAAGGAAAAGGAGGGGGTGGGTGGCCTAGGAGCTGGAGGTTTGTGGGTTCAGGGCAAGGAGAATGTGCCTCAGGTTTCCCAGTGTGGTTAACTGCAAAGCAGGGCCAACCATTAGGCCACCTTTGAGATCGCAAGAATTTTTGAGCGCTGGGTGGGGTGGCGCACGCCTGTAACTCTAGCACTCGGAAGGCTGAGGCAGGAGGATTACTGCAAGTTCGAGGCCATCCTGTACTACATAAATTCGAACTTCAAAGCCAGCCGGAACTATACAGTGAGACCTTGTCTCAAAAAAAAAAAGACAGAAAGAATGAAGGAATTTTTGAAGGTCTAGGGTGAAAAGAGGAGCCTGTGGAGGAGCCACACCCAGGCCTGGCCTGGAAATAGGGAAGAATGGGAGTGACATGGAATCCCGACACAAACAGGTTCAGAGGGCAGGAGTTCATGGCTCTTGGGCATCAGGGGTGGGCGGGGACGAAAAGGAGGACTGCGCTGGTGGCTTCTGGAGGTCACCCTTCCGGTTCACGCTGCTAACTCGGTTCCCATCACCACCACCAGGTGGGGCCGAGGCTTCGGGCTGGTGGAGCACGTGCTGGGAGCAGACAGCATCCTCAATCAATCCAACAGCGTATTCGGGTGCATTTTTTACTCGCTACAACTGTTGTTAGGTGAGTGGCTCCACCCTCCATAACCGTCCTGCTTCCTTTAGGCCAGCTCAGGCCCACCCCAAGGGGTATCTGCTACCCAGAAGCTGATAGCCTCAGCAACCAGCATCAGGCCCGGGGGCAGGGAGGGAACTAGTAGTCTTCCAGTTGGTCTGGGTACTGTCAAAGGACTTCTATGATCCAATGTTCCAGTTTTGAGGGAAGACTTAAAAATTACTTTTTAAAAAAAGGGGGGAGGGCTGGGGATGTAGCTCAGTGGTTCTGCTGCCTGCCTGCAAGCTCGAGGTCCCAAGTTCCATCCTCAGTACCAAAAAAAAAAAAATTACTTTTTTTTTTGACTGAGGACTGAACCCAGGGCCTTTGTGCTGGGCTACATCCCTGGCCCTTTTTTAAATGTTGAAGCAGGGTCTCCCTAAGTCACTAACTTGCCCAGGCTGGGTTCAAACTTGGGTCCTCCTGCTTCAGCCTCCCAAAGTGCTGGAATTACAGGTGCGAGGCACCTGACACAGCTCAGATGTTCCTTTTTTTTTTCAGACAAAGTCTTGCTGTGTAGTTCAGGCTGGCCTTGAACTTGCTATGTAACCTAGGCTGGCCTCAAATCACGGTGATCCTCCTGCCTCAGCCTCCTGAGTGCTAGAATTTCAGGCGTGCGCTGCCATGCCTATCAGAAACTCCTCTTTGAGTGAAATCTAAAGGTGACTTTTCATCTCATGTAGAGCTCGGCAGTCAATTTCACTATTTGGGGCCCCGGGATCACTGAGCAGATGGGGGAAGCAAGGCCTTAGAGTGGGCCTGCCAGCCTCTTATTTTAGGCACTTTCCCAGCAGTCCCTGTATCTGGGCAGCACAGGAAGTCATGGGATGTTCTAGAGATGGCCATTCCTGACCCCTTTTTTCTTTGCAGGTAGCCTTCGGGGACGCTGGGCCTCTGTCCTGCTGGTGCTGAGTTCCCTGGTGTCCCTTGCTGGTTCTATCTACTTAGCCTGGATCCTGTTCTTCGTGCTCTATGATTTCTGTGTTGTCTGCATCACCACCTATGCTGTCAATGTGGGCCTAATGTGGCTTAGCTTCCGGGAGTTCCGGGAGCCTCAGGCCAAGGCCAAGCAGCACTGAGCCCTCAGCCCAAACTAGGATGACCTCATTGGCTTATAGCCCATAGCCTTGCCCAAGCAGGCCGTGTCTGGATCCCTTGAAGGCCCTGCATTTTCCCCCAGCCATGCATAACCACACACAGGAAAGTGGACCAAATATGCCTCTCGATCTCTCCAAGGGCTGGTTTCTGCCCTGCCTTGGGAGGGAAGGTTCTAAGCAATAAAATTTCCTAAATAAGTTGGCTGAGTCTGAACCGACTGTCTGTCAGGGCCCTCGCTCATATTGGGTTTCTCCAGTGCTTCCTTCCCAGGAACTCTGAAGGATGTGAGTCAGAGGGAGAGTGGAGGGCCTGCCCAGGAAGGGTGTTTGTCTCACTGCAGTGTGTAGAGTCAGCAAGGCCTGGGGCGCTGCCAGCTCCCACCCCCAGAAAACAGGCTGGCGGCTTGTCCCAGACCTTCCCTGGGACAGTCGCAATGCACCTGCAAGGGCATGCTGCCCTCCTGGCTCCTGCACGCTGGCTGGGAACTTCTGGGAACTTAGCCCTCCAGCTGCCTCATCTGCCAATCCAGCCTGTCTTGGTAGCCCTGAAGGGCTAGGGCCAGGTTGTGTCTTTTTGTTTTGTTTTTCCTAATATGTACTGAGGACTTAGCCACATGCTAAGCACTGTTTTAAGAACTTAGGTTAACATGTGTAAATGAATTAATCTGTGTCATGATTATATGAGGTAAGAACTTTTAGTATCTCTGTATCAGTGAGGAAATCGAGGTACACAGAGGCTAATTTACCTAAGATCACATCGCTAGTGCTGGGAAGGAGTCCGGAGATCTGATCTTTTTTTTCTGTCAGTGTAGGGCCTTACGCATGCACTGAAAAAAAGGCAAGCACTCTGCCTCTGAGCTACCCCAGCCCCACCTGTCAGAATTTGAATTTGTGTGGTAACTTTTCACAGCTGCATCTGGGTTAGGATCAGCGTTCCTGAATAGTCTGAGCTGGCCTGGATTATGAATCAGAAAGAGAAAAAGGATTCTTTTTTTTTTTGGTACCAGGGATCGAACTTGGGTCCTTGCACTTCCCAGGCTAAATCCCCACCCCAGTCTTTCCCATTTTTAAGAAAGGTGGGTATCACTGTACCTGCTTTCTGGAGAGGCAGCAGGCCCAGAGAGATTTGGGGATTCACCCAAAGTTCACAGCCAGCAAGGAGCAGAGAGGCTCAGCCCAGCAAACAACTAGCCCTGCACACTGCCTTGGAAGCAGACATGGTGACAAGGTATGTGAGACCCACTCGGCCCGGCTGAGAGGCAGGGAAGCTGAAATGAAAAGTGGACCCAGGGGCCTGCCTCCTGCCCTTCACAGCTCCACAATAAAGTGCCCATGCTGGGAGCAAGTCTACTAGAAGCCATTTTTACATTTCAGAAGTAGTTTCTCAGACAAGACACAGACAGGCTCGCTGTCCAAGGGCACTTAAGTAATAAGGGAAGACTTGAACCAGGGCCGTCTGGCTCTGTGGTCAGGGTCCCAAGGTGGGTGATAATCAGCCCAGGGTCACATAGCCACAGCGCCAGAGCCTGGAGATACTGGCTCCCTCCACCCCAAGAAAGCAGTGACACCTGACTCCTGAGCCAGCTGGGGGTGGAGCAGAGGTGGAGCCCGGGAGACCAGGTGGCTCTCTGAGAGTCACAGCATAGGAGGCAGAGTGGCCTGGAGCAGCATGAAGCAGAGTTGGGGACCGGGGCTGCTCATGCTGGGAGCACTGGTCCTCCTAGAGGGTAAGTGTTCGTGTGCGAGGCGGGGGTTGTGGGGTTCTCAAGCCTCCCTCTGCCCCTCCAGCCCCTGCACTTCAGTGTGCGTATGGTCCTGTTGTGGCGATGCCTTCGTCTGGCTGTGTGGGGAGCACATGTGGCCACCTGAGGCAAAATAAGTGGGTACACTTTTCCCAGGCCAAGTCAGTGTCTGTAGGGACTGTCATTGTGCCTGTGTGTGTTCCTTGCACTGGCTGCCTCTGCTTCCAGGGTGACCTCAGGCACCCCTCTCCCCATCTTCCTGTTACATCTTGCCTCTCCTGTGGCGGATGTCCCAGGGGTCTATTGTGTGCGTGCCTCTGATGGGGAGGAAGGCGGGGACCCTTTGGCGGGATCTCTGGCAGCATGGGGGAAGATGGCAAGTCTGAGACATTAGGATGGGGTGGGGAAGCCACTTTCCCACCCGAACACGGAGAGGCCTCTAATCCTTCCACTTAGAGCCTCCATGCCTGAAGGGACAGTTAAACCAATGCTTTCCACACACATAGGCCAACTCCCTGACTCAGCGGTGGGGGTGGGAGTAGGGTGCTGAAGCCCGGGGGAGGGTTGGCCCGGTCCCAAGCTGAACCCCAGGCCCTGCTCCTCAGGCCCAAGAGTGCTGACCAAGCTGAGGGAGAAAAGTTAATTACTGAGCATGTGCTCTGAATGGGTTCCAGTAAAAGCTACTTCTCAACCTCATATATTTTCATTCTGGGAGGGGCTGGTGAGGTATGCAGTCACAGAACTCGGGGCTCACCGAAGCCCACCTCTCCATCAAACCTGTGCCTAGCAGGTCAAGTGTCCGATTCTCACTTGAGTCTCTCTCTTCCCAGGTCTTCAAGCAGCTCAGCGTGGTAAGCTGTGGGGAAAGCTCTGAGGATTTGGGCCTGGGTTAGGCCTGGGTGAAGCAGGACAGGGTCTGCTGTCGGGATGACCTATGCCTCTCCATAGCTTGTGGGCAGCGAGGACCTGGCCCTCCTGAGCCTCAGGACGGCAGGACAGAACCCAGCGAATGGCCCTGGCAAGTCAGCTTGCGGAGGCATGGACTCCACATCTGCAGCGGCTCCCTGGTAGCAGACACCTGGGTCCTCACTGCCGCCCACTGCTTTGAAAAGTGAGTCATGGTGGGGTCAGATGGGTCACCGGCTTTGGAGCAGACGATCCGTCCCTAACTCTCGCAAGACTGATCCCTAGCCCTAGAATAAAGTACCATTTATTAAAAATCTGCCCTGAGCCAGGGTATATATTATTGAGTTAACCCTCACCTTTCACGGTAGCTTCATGAATGAATAAACAGGTTGAGAAAAGGGAAGGACCGTGATTAAAGTGACAGATTACTGTCTGTCTGTCTCCCAGCTGCCAGAGCCGTCTGCTGGGGTGTACTGTCTCCCCTGCACCCAACAGTCCAGGCCTTTCCTTCCCATTCCAGGGCGGCCTCGACAGAACTGAGTACCTGGTCTGTTGTCCTGGGTTCCCTGCAGCGTGAAGGGCTGAGTCCAGGGGCCGAGCAGGTGGGGGTAGCTGCCCTGCAGTTGCCCAGGGCCTTTAACCACTACAGCCAGGGCTCCGACCTGGCCCTGTTGCGGCTTGCCCACCCCACAACCCGTACACCTCTCTGCCTGCCCCACCCTGCCCATCGCTTCCCCTTCGGAGCCTCTTGCTGGGCCACTGGTTGGGACCAAGACAACGGTGATGGTAAGTGCGGTCCTCGACTTAAGACCCGAGAGGTGCTCTGCTCAGCCAGGGCAGCCTCAGCTCCCAGCCATCCCAGCCCAAGGCCCCATGCCTATGAGAGCCAAGACTCCAGCCTCGGCCCCCATCCCTTCAGCAGCTCCCAGGACCCTCCGGAACCTGCGCCTGCGTCTCATCAGCCGCCCCACGTGTAACTGTCTGTACAATCGGCTGCACCAGCGGCTGCTGTCCAGCCCGGCCCGGCCCGGGATGCTGTGTGGGGGTGCCCAGCCTGGGGTGCAGGGACCCTGCCAGGTCTGGGCCGGGAGAGGGCCGGGAGAAGGGGAGGCCTAGCCTTAGGCTGGAGCTCAACTCTCAGAGGAGGGTGGAAGGGCTGCGGTCGGGGCACAGCCCAGCCTGGGGCTCAGGCGGCTTCTTAGCTGCACTGCCTGGCTGCAGGGAGACTCCGGAGGCCCTGTGCTGTGCCAGGAGCCCAGCGGGCACTGGGTCCAGGCTGGGGTCATCAGCTTCGCCTCAAGGTGTGCCCAGGAAGACGCTCCTGTACTGCTGACCGACACAGCGGCCCACAGCTCCTGGCTGCAGGCTCGAGCTCGGGGAGCAGCCTTTCTGGCCCAGAAGCCAGGGACCCTGGAGACCAGTGATGAGGACAGCTGTGTAGGTGCGAGCAGGCGTGTGGGGAACGGGCATGTGGGGTCGCCCAGGCCAAGGTGAGGACCTCTGGCAGCGGGAGGGGCCACAGGGAAGCAAACTTCAGTTCAGAAAAAAGAACTGAAACAGGGCACCCACACATTGCCAAGGGCTAAGGGGGCTTTTAAGTGCTGTCCTGGATTTCAGTTCAGAGAGGTACTCTGCCTGTCCAGGGCAGTCTAAGCTCCCAACCGGCCCGGCCCCTAGTCCCCCTTGCCTGCCAGAACCAAGACTCCAGCCTCAGCTCGCAGACCCCTCTGCCAGCGCAGTGCCACTGAGCTACATGCCTGGCCCTGCTTGTATCTTTTTTTTTTGGTACCGGGGATTGAACTCGGGTCCTTGTGCTTGCGAGGCAGGTGGCGGAACCACTGAGCTAAATGGCTGAAGGTTATCTAAACCAGCAGCAAGCCTCCAGACAGGGACCCAGCAAGATCAAACAGGCAGGACTCACTCAGAATCCCGGCATGAAGCAACCAACATGCAAACCATATGCAAACTTGTGCCTGGGAAGGAAGCAATGTCTTTTTTTTTTTTTTTTGGCACTGGGGATCGAACTCAGGACCTTGTGCTTTCGAGGCAGGCACCGGAACCACTGAGCTAAATCCCCAGTCCACAATGTCTTGATGTTAGGGAAAGCGCTAGTGGGCCAGGGATTCTGGATGCGTCCTGCTCCAGAGGGATGGTTTTTCCTGGAGGACTGGAACAGAGGACTTTCACACCACCAGGGTTAAACAGCTCAGGCTCTGGCTTTGGAATCCCAGGTCTGCTACTCCTTGCTTTTGGTACAGAGCTAGGAAGTCCTTGACCTCTCTGGAGCCTTTGGTAATGGAGGTAACACAGTGAACCTAAAGGGTACCGGGAGGATTTAGCAGCACTGCGAAGTTTGTGGCCCAGTGAGCACTTAACAAGTTGGGTGTTGTAATCCATCTGTTTCAGCCTGTGGATCCCTGAGGAGAGAGGGTCCCCAGGCAGGAGCTCCCTCTCCGGGGCCCTGGGATGCCAGGCTGAAGCACCAGGGGAAGCTGGCCTGCGCTGGAGCCTTGGTATCCGAGGAGGTGGTGCTGACAGCTGCCCACTGCTTCATCGGGTGAGCCTTGCAGCACCCCCACTGTTGTGCACCTTGTCCCAGCCCAGTCACTCAGTGCTGTGAATGCTGCCTCTGCACAGGCGCCAGACCCTGGAAGAATGGAGCGTAGGGCTGGGGGCTGGACCAGAGGAGCGGGGCCTGAAGCATCTCTTCCTACACGGGGCCTACACACACCCAGAAGGGGGCTATGATGTGGCCCTCTTGTTGCTGGCCCAGCCGGTGACCCTGGGCCCCAGCCTGCGACCACTTTGCCTGCCGTATACTGACCAGCACCTGCCTGATGGGGAGCGTGGCTGGGTCCTGGGGTTGGTCCAAGAAGCAGGTATGTAGGACTGGGGCCACCAGCAGGCATCCATCCAGCACCAAGGCCACTGGGGCAGCCTGCTCTTTTTCCTTACCGGACAGGCGTCAGCTTCCTGCAGACAGTGCCTGTGACCCTCCTGGGGTCTGGGGCCTGCAGCCGGCTGCACACAGCCCCTGGGGGTGACAGCACTCCCATTCTGCCAGAGATGGTGTGTGCCAGTGTTGTGGGTGAGCTGCCCCACTGTGAGGTGAGCCTAGTTCCAAACTTCAGCAAATATTCTTTCACTACATACATGAACAGACGAACTGCCAGGCTTGGCTTCCAGCCTGCCTCTCAGTAGAGCTAGTCCTTCCTGCCAACTAGGCCCCAAATAGCCCGAGCTTCAGCCCCTTCTGCCCTCCCACAGCTGCCTCGGTAGAGGAAATAACCCACGGCCACTGACCCGACAGGGCCTCTCAGGGGCACCGCTGCTGCGTGAGGTGAGAGGCACGTGGTTCCTGGCTGGGCTACACAGCTTTGGAGATGCCTGCCAAGGCCCTGTGAGGCCTGCTGTCTTCACAGCGCTGCCTGCCTATGAAGACTGGGTCAGCAGTTTAGACTGGCAGGTCTACTTTGCCGAGGAGCCAGAGCCCGAGGAACAGGCGCTGGGGCCTGAGGTGGAGGCTGGGAGCTGCCCAGCCAACTCACGTAAGTGTCCCTGGGGCTTTCCTGCTGAGCCTACCTGCTCCAGTCGTCTGTATCAATCTGGAGAAAGCACTCTTCTGAGCCACTCGCAGCTGCCTGTGTGGGGTGAAGCGGTGGACAGACCCATGTGGGTGCTAACTGTGGCTCTTTCTCATTTGCAACTGGAGTGTGGGTGCAGACAGACTCTACTCCTTTAAAGGAGGAACAAAATTGTGGGGATGAAGCCGACTGCACCCTCCTTCTTTCCTTCATAGGCCGATCAGCCAGCTGTTGACAGGTGACTGGGCCTTTCACAGGACGTGGGAAAAGTGAGATGACTCCCATGACAACGTGCCTGCTTCTCCCTGTGCCCCAAGTGTGTTCTAGGCCCTGGGGCAGGCCCGGCAGAGGCCCCTACTCCCTGGCCTGCAGGACAGGGATGTCGTCTGCAGATGCTCCCACAGCTCTGGTCTCCAGTGCACGTGTTCCTGCCATCTCTACCCTTTCATTCCTCAGACACAATCACATCAGCCACCTGCTTTGAAAATTTCTTTTTTGGGGGGAGCAATTTTTCTTTTTTAAAACTTAAATAAATTGTTACAAAATAGACTTTAGAAAATAAGTTACAAACTGTAGCAAAAGGCTCCCCTTTCACAGGCAACATTCCCAAGGAGGTGCTCTCTGAACCTGCCTTTCCCTGGTGTTGGAATCTGGCCCAGCATCTTGGCAGAATATGGTGACAAAGGTTGGGGAAGGAGATCCTTCAACAACAGGGACGTGAGAAACCCCCCGCTCCCTTCTCAGGAAGGAAGCCAGACCTGGGTACTGGTCACAGGGAGAGAGAAGAGCTGGGGATGCCCAAGCTACTCCTGAGCGAAACATGGAGATCAACCTGCTCTCCAATGTTCTGATCTTGGGAGACGAAGTTCAGAGGGAGAAGCTGAGGTCTGCAGGCCACTGGGGTGAAGGGTCTGGCAGTGGGGTTGTAGGGGTGGCTGGAGAGGGCAGTGACAAGTCCCCTCTGCTTGCCGCTGGTGCCACTGGGGATCCTGGGGGAGAGAGAGGGTCACTGAGGGGGCAGATGGCACAGCTCCCCAACCCGCAGGCCACCCCCCACCCCGTTCGTGGCCCCAGAGGAAAACCCAGGAACTCTGACTCCCAGTCACTTTCCCAGCCCTGGCTACCTGGCCCCTCACTTACTTCCCTTGAAATCCCAAGAAATCTTTCACCCCGAGAGCCCTGTTATCACATCCTTCTTCCCTGACAAGCTCTGTCCCAGGGCTCACTGTCTACGGGACACCCCCCCTTGAATGAGTTCTCCTCTACTGGGCTGGGTAGGGCAGACCCTGTCCCACCCCTCCCTGCACCCCTCATCCTGTGTAGGGCAGGCTGGGCGGGGAGTCTACTCAGATGCTGTCTGATAAGAGGCCGAGATGGGGCGAATGACTGCTGTGGCTATGGCCAGGCCTGCCTTCAAAAAAACAATTATGTGTGACTCAGCCTTCCAGCTAAAGGTGTGTGTGGGGGGGTGATATGTGTGTGCAAAAATGGTTTGGCTGGAATCTAAAAAGATCTACAGCTGGGTGTGGTGGTCCATGTCTGTAATCTCAGCACTCAGGAGGCTGAGGCAGGAGGATCACTGCCAGCCTGGGCTACAAAGTGAGTTGAAGGCCAGCCTGAGCTACACAGTGAGGCCCTGCCTCAAAAATAAATAAAATACTAAAAACAAAATCTACAGCAGCGAGAGAAGGACTGACTAAAGAGAAGAGACAATATTGGAACAATATTTATAGGAAAAAAAATTAGAAGTCTAGTCCCCAAGAAAAGAGGAGAACAGGGATAAGATGTGGGGAAAGAGATTCGAGTTGGATCCTGACCATCGGCCCAGTTTCCACTGCCAAGTCAGCAATGAAGCCATAAAGCAGTCCAGTCAGTGGAGGTCACTGGTCACTGACTGAGGGGCAGACCCCACATCTCCTGAAGCCCAAAAGGCCACGCCCCCACTGCCTGAATAGACCTAGGAATGCTGGGACTCCCAATTATTCCCTGCCCATGCTCCCTTGCTTGCTTCCTGGCTCCCTGCCTACTCTACAACAGAACAGACAAAATCAATGGCTTCATCTTTCTCTCTAGAAAATATTGCTGGCTGAATCAGGAGGGTTTCCAGACATAATAGCTAGGTGATACCCAGGTACCCAGCCCACGTCAAAAGAAAAAGGCCATTCCTCTTAGGCTATGACAGAGGAGCCCGCACAGCTGCCTCTACCTATGACCTCTCACCTTACACTGCCCCAACCCATCATGCCATCTGTTTATCTAACCCAGGGGTGCAGATCTCAGCTGCTCAAAAGGCAGCTCCCTCAAACCATTTTTCACTCCACCTGCAGTCCCCCCCACCCTGGGGTCCATGCAACTCTCTCCCTCTTTGCTTTCCCCCTCACCATGGTACCTAATTTGGCCCTCCACATGCCCCAACTGGCCCTCCTCCTGGGACTCTTCAATACCCTGCCCACGCCCATTCATTCCCTTACCAGAGCCAGCCACTGTGCACGGCTCCTGGTGCTGCTGCTCGTGCTGCAGGAAGCTGATTCGCCGGCGGAAGTGGCGGGGACAGTGGCGGCAGGTGAAAGGCCCCTCCTGGGGAGTGTGGATCCGCCCATGGCCCTCCAGCCGGGCCACTGTCCGGAAGGCCTTGCCACAGATGCTGCAGCGGTGGCGCCTGGGGTCTGTGTGGGTCCTGCCATGGTTCTTCAGAGACAGCAGGTTGGGCAGGAGCTTGGGGCACAGGGAGCAGGGGTACGGGCCAGTGGTGTGGGCCTTCTGGTGGTTCAGCAGGCTGCCGGCGTGGCGGTAGGCACGCCCACACTGGGCACAGCGGAAGGGCCGTTCCTTGTCGTCAGCCCCTGTGAAGTCTGCTCCTTGCCCACCACGAGCTCCCTTGGACTCCTTCCCTGAGGCTCTGAGGGGCTCTGATGGGGCCTCCTGACCTTTCCCTTGGCTAGCGATCCCCACCTTGTCCTCCACAGTCCCAGCTTCTTTTATCAGACTTGGCAACTGACTGTGGCCCATGGCATGAGTCTGCAGGTGAGTGGCCAATTCATGGTGGGACTCAAAGGCCATGCCACAGTCAGGGCAAGAAAAACTCTGGGCAGCTATATGGTTGTGGCTGTGGCTTTTAGTGGCCATGGGATTTAAGGACTCCTTAGAGCAGAGCAGGCAATAGTGGAGGTCTGTCTTGTGCCTGTTGTGGTTCATGAAGCCATCGGACTGACAGCAAATCTTGCCACACTGGCAGCAGGCGTAGGAGTGGCTCTCTGGCTGGAGCGGAGAGCTGCTGTCTCCATTATCCCAGCTATCCACGTGACTTAGACTAGGTCCATTGGGCTGGCTGTCAGCAAGCTGGCAAGGACTCCCGGGGGGATGGTCCTCTGACTGGTCTTCTGCCCTGGTCAATACGTGACCCTGAGGAACCCAACTTCCATTGTGATTTACCAGTCCTCTCTCTCCTTGCCATCCATCTGCTTTCCCCATGCCCCAGGACAGTGGTTCTGTGGCTTCTGAATCTGTTGTCCTAGTAGGGTTCTGACTATGCTCTCCTAACCTCATGGCTCCATCTTCCAGCTGGGGTACTGACTCAGTACCCCCTGATCTGCCCTCTGGTCCTTGGTTGTTGACCAGGTTCCCCTCACTGCCCTCTGTGCCATTTGAGCTTCTCTGGCCACTGGCCAACCCCCCTTTGGTCTCCTCCTCATGCTCCCGCAGGTGCCGCTCCAGAGATCCTCGGCCAGGAAAGCCACGGCCACAGAGGGCACAGCACACAGCTGCCCGGTGGGACCGCCCTGCCCGCCGCCGCCGAGTCTCAGAGTGTAGCCTCTGATGATCCTTCAGGGCCATGCGATTGGAGTAGGTCTTGGGGCAAGAAGGGCAGCTATACTGGCCTGTGTCATGGCTGCGCCGGTGGTTCAGGAGGCTGCCCGCATGGCGGTAGGTCCGACCACACTGCCCACACCCAAAGGGCCGGTCTTCCCGAATCAGCTTCCGGGTGCCCCCAGTGCCACGCCGTTCAATGTGGACCCGCTGGTGACTGGCCAGTTGCTTCCGCAGGCGAAAGGCTTTCCCACATTCACTGCAGCGGAAACGCCGAGGGTCTGCATGGATGCGCCGGTGGTTCTTGAGGGACATGAGGTTTGAGAAGCCCTTGGAGCAGGCCTGGCAGCCAAAGTGGCCAGTCTGGTGGCTTTGCCGGTGATTGATGAGGCTGCCAGCATGCTTGTATGAGCGGCCACACACCTCACAGCTGAAAGGCCGCTCAGAGCTGGCCTCCGTCTGACAACCCTTCTCTGCTGTCTCCAACCGTCGGTCTATCTCCTCCCCTTTCACAGTGGTCTCCTCCCACTTTTCCTCTTTCACCCTTGCCACCTTCTCCACTTTAAGTTCTTCTTGGAACTTCCCCATTTCTGCCTGCTCTGGCTTTCCCTCTGCCACATTCTGGGGCTCACTGCTGCACCCTACCTCTGGAACGGGCCTCACCTGGGGCTCAGAGCCTTTGCAGCGAGGGTGGTTCCTCAGATGGTTACGGTAGGCAGCCAGGTTGGGGTAGCAACGGGAGCAGACAGGGCAGATGAAGTCTCCAGTTTGGTGGATTTTGCGGTGGTTCACCAGGCTGCCCCCATGCCGATAGGTCTTGCCACACTGGTTGCAGCGGAAGGGACGGGGGTGAACCTCCAGAAAACTTTCACCAACCTGCATGCAAAGGCTATCTAGAACCGTGTCACTCAATCCCTCTTCAGACTTCGTGTCTTCACCCTCTCCAGAGACAAAGGGCACTGTGCCATCAAGGACAGTGTCTGCAGCTATCTCTGTGGCATCATCTGACGCTTCCAAATGGCTTGGAGCCTTATCTATGGTATTCTCCAAACTCTGACTTTGGTGGTGACGTTCCAGGCTCTTCAGGTCATCGTAGGTCTGACCGCAGCAGCCACAGATGTGCCCATAACCTGCTCCATCCAGTGCTTCCACCTCCCGCTGCAGCTGATTCAGCAGCTCTGCTTCTGAGAGCTGCAGTGAAGCACTACGAGTAGAGGCTACCTCTGCTGCCCCTTCCCCTTCTCCATCCTCCTCCGAGTCCTCAGTCATGCCAGAGGAGCTGTGAACCTGGCGCCAGTGAAGCCTGTAGCCAGCCCGCCCAGGAAAGATCATACCACAGAGGCAGCACAGGAAAGGCTGTGCTGAGGCTGCCTCCCCTGGCCCATGGTCCTGGAAGTGACTCCGTAGGCCAGGAAGAGAGTCAAACTCCTTTGGGCAGAGGGAGCACTGATAGATGCCTGGTGGGTGGCAAGGCCTATGGCTCAGCAGTCCAGTGGCATGGGGGAAAGAATGCCCACAATCAGAACATTTGTGAGTGACCTCAGTCTGCCAGCTGGTAACAGTTTCAGCAGAGTGGGAAGATGAGTTGGGCTCACCCGTGGTTGATTTCTGGTCTTCATCCACCCCAGTAAGGCCATCAGAGAAGCGAGTCCCATTGGTTTCATCACCTGGGATGTCCAAGTTGTCAAGGAAACAGGCCTCCTTTCTTTCCAGTCCTTCTTCAGTTCCTCTACTCTCCTCTTTATCACCCTGAAAACAGGCCTCATCCCTCTCAAGCCCACAATGGTCACCTTCAGATTCAGCCTGCAAACAGTCTACATCAGTTTCCAAGCTGACTTTAGTTCCACAAGGACTTTCCCCTGCAGGGTCTTGGGAAGAATCCAGGCCCTCACTGTCTTCCAACTCCTGGGCCCAGGGACCCTCTAGTGGGAACTTGGCTTCTCCCCCACCACCAGCCCGTTTCCGATGATGCCTACTCTGTCGCCGACTGTGCCGTCGCAAATGGCTCTTCATGGCAGCCATGGTGTGGAAGTGCTTGGTACAGGCCTCACAACTGAAGTCCCCTGTCTGATGAGTCTGCTTGTGGTTGATAAGGCTGCCAGAGTGTCGATAGCTCTTGCCACAGTCTCTGCATTCAAATGCCCTAGGAGGTGATACTGTGGACTCTGTTCTGCTACTTCCCTTTTCCCTATGGGTCAGGTCATGTTGTTCAAGGCTCTTATGATCTTCAAAGAGCATCCCACAGATGCTACATATTAGTGGTGATGTTGTATCTGCTGTTGGGGGGATACTGACAGTCCCTTCTTCACGTTGGCACCTGTGTCCCTCATCTGTGTATAAGGTTGGCTCTGCTCCCACTGAGTTAGGCAAAAGTTCTACCTTGAGGTGACTGGAAGGACCCTTGGTCCCTGGGTCTGTATTTCTTCGAGCAGCCTTGCAATGTACTCTCACATGGTTGCGCAGGGCCATAAGGTTGGGGTACTTGCGGGGACAGAGTGAGCACTGGTACTCTCCTGTGCGATGGCTATGCCGGTGGTTCACCAGGCTCCCCCGGTGGCGGTAAGCCCGACCACATTCGTTGCATTTATAAGGACGATAGTCCAGGGTGGCGGTGGGGGCTTCTTCCTCTTTGTGGGTGGTATCAGCTAAGACCAGGGGAGCTGGTGGCAATGATGACTGCCCATCTTCCCCGGCTCCTTGCTGGGGTCTGTGATGAGCCCGTACATGGTTTTTGAGGGCTGCAGCATTGAAAAGCTGCTTAGAACACATTGAACATGGGTAGACACCTGTCTGGTGGCTCTTTCGATGGTTGATGAGGCTCCCAGCATGGCGGTAAGTTCGGCCACAGTCTCCACAGCGGAAAGGCCGGTATTCCTCCAGGCCACTATCTTCCAGCTCCCCAGAAATGCTGAGCTCCAAGCCATTCAGCATCTGCGTCGTAGGTATCTGGTCCCGGGCACTCTCATCTGTGTGCCCATTGGCGGTGGGCATCCCATTATCTTCCCAGGGCTGCTCTTGCCTTTCGACCTCATGGGACTGCTGGTGTTCTAGCAGCTCCTGGGGCAGCCGGAAAGCACGAGGGCAGTGGGGGCAGTGGTAAGGCCGATACTGAGCATGGAGTCGGGAGTGGTTCTTCAGAGCCATGAGGTTAGAAAATTCCTTGAAGCAGATGGCACAAGGGTAAACACCCAGAGTGTGACTCTGGCGGTGGTTGGTGAGGCTCCCAGCATGCTTGTAGGTCTTGCCACATTGACTGCATTTATACCGCCGCTCCTCCTCAGCAGGAGGAGACTGGGTAGGCTCCTGGCCCCCTGTGAAGTTCACTACTGATTCAGCCAAATATTGTTCCAAATTACTAAGGAGGCTGCTGGCTGGAATGGGGAGAGGCGGGGCTCTGGGAGAGTGAGTGGTAGGACCCCAGCTCTCAGCACCCTCCTCAGAATCTGGCTGCCTTTCCCAGCCTTCTCTTTGTTTCCTGGGTATATTTTCCAAAGTGCCTGGAGTTGTTCTAGGGTCAGGCCCACATTCACAATCATGTGTCTCTTTTGTATGCTTTGTCTGGTTTTCCCAGCCTTCCCTAGGTCCAAGCTTCTGGCCCCTGTTATCAGCAGACACTGTCTCACTCTGGAGATGTGGAGTGGCTTCCTTAGGGCGAGGGGGCCTATGCCTGCGGCGGCCCTCAGGAGCATGTGTCCTCATGTGGCTCTTGAGGGCCATAGGATTGGTAAAGTCCTTGCCACAGGTGGTGCAGGGGAAAAGTCCAGTCTCATGGGTCCGACGGTGGTTGACTAGGCTCCCTGGGTGACGGTAGCCTCGCCCACACTGCTGACAGCGGTAGGGCCGAGGGATGCTGTCAGCCTCCTCACTGTCCTGATTGAGAGATGGATGGAGCAGTTCTCGATGCCGTGAAAGTTCTGGGAGGCTAGGAAAGTGGCGCTGACAGTCAGAGCAGCTGAGTGAGAGAGGTGTGTCCTCCATGGGGCAATGTGACAGAAATCTGGAGGTTCAGGAGAAGTAGACAGGTGGCAGTAGCATCTTCCTCTGGTGCAGGGGCCTAGGAAGAGGGGGCAGTGGTCAAAAGGAAGGCTTGAATTTACTTTGTCTTGTCTCTATGAGCAACAAATATACCAGAGGTCACTGATGAGGCTCCCCAACCATCAATGCCAAGGACTCGCTTTCTACTAGAGCTAATCTAGACGTACCATCATTTAAGATCTCCCCATGCACAGCTCTCCAAATATGGCAGCTCCTCTATGCTTAAGTTATCCTTAGAGGTACAGATAAGGATACAGTCTACAGAGATATGACCTGCTTCAGATCATAGTTCTATTATCATGCTTTTCAGACCATCCCAAATTTTATGTTCCTAACCCTCTGCTCTCTGCAATTCTGAAAATGTAAAACTTTTCTGTGACATCTTAAAAGGAAACTGGTCTTTTCAATAAGTCCAATCTTCTTTTACCCTTCAGCAACAGTAGCTTGGAAGCCTGAAAAAGCAGCTACTTTCTTCAGCTGACAGGTGAGGACCGAGAGAGGTTCCCTACAAAGAAAGACTGGCTTGTTTCCACACCTCGTCTAGTCCTTATAATAAGGTCTCTTTTCCAAGACTCTCTTGGCCAGCTCCTTTATGCAAACTACCATCCATCTTGAAAACGTTCCATCCCATTTCAAGTTGGGAATTTCATTTCATCCCCTTTTTCTATCCCGTGCCACCTTACATTATTCTTACTATTTCTCATTTTTTCTTCAATTTCCTCTTCTAATGCTGATAGTGACAGCAACTCATGCTAAGTATTACCATGTGCCAGGCACTGGGGTAAGCATAATCAATGTATCACCAAATCCTCACAACACTTAATGCTCCCGTTAACCTAGTTTACACATGAGCAAACCCAATGAATCTTCATTCCAAAGCCCTTGCTTTCTCAGTAGTAGTTCCTCATCCTCCTGTACCATCTTGGCCTCTTCTGACTCCCGTGGGACTCCAATACGACTATCTCCGACACTAGCCCCCTCGCTGAACTGCTCCCGGAATTCTCATCTCCCAAAGCGCCTTCTCTAAACGGTCCCCTTCCCAAATCAACCACCAATGAGGTACTCTCCCGTCACTCAACTCTTCTGGCAGTCTCCGCTCAGGACCCCTACCTCTCACCCCAACCCCTTCTTGTTCCCGCCGCAGGCGCGTCCGTTGGGGACTGCGCCTGCGCACTGAGACCCTTACCCTAACTGCAGCCGCGCGCCCCAAGGAGTGGCTGTGCAGGCTTCTCGCTCTCCCATACACGCACACTCATCCAGAGTTCCAGACAGGCTGGAGGGGAGAAGTCAGAAAGAATAAGGGAGAAGAGGAAGGAAGTAGAGGGAAGAAAGTGCAGCTGATAAGAACTGGACGTCCAGCCCCAGCTCCACGGACACTTCCTATTGTTACTAAGAAACAGGAAGTGTCCTACAGGCAAAAGCTTCCCCGCGAAACTTCCGCCTCAGGAACATTTCCTGTCCCGCCTCCAAGCAGCGGTTCCGCGCACACTTCCGGCGCTAAATTCTGGCTGGGTGCAACTGTCTCCGCCCATGTAGGTCGCGACGCTGCGTTTTTAGCTACTACCTTAGCCACACTTCCGTCCAGAGCTGCTAAAATCGTCCCGGAATATATTGAATGAGACGAAGAGAAAAAAAAGATTCTGCAGCCCTGGCAACAGTACTTTGGCGACACTTTTCAGGGGGCTCGCTGGAAGATTTCCTAAGACAGATGGGGAAACGCCATTAAAGTCACTCGCTATTGAAGGAAATGTGGAATATAAGCGGATTTAGGTTGAGAACGGCCTTTCCTCCCACCTTTTAGGTCTTGGAGACACTTCGGTGGCCTGGCCGATGTGTACGGTCAGTCGGCCCGGCGTCTCCTCCCCTTAGCACCCAGAGACCCTTTGCGAGCCGTTTCTCCGCCACCATAGGCGGTAGGAGCCGCTGTCAATTCCCTTCCTCCTCCGCGGGGCGCTCCCTTCACTTCCGCTTCCTGGCCCGTTGGCCCCGCCCCGCCCCCCGCTGGGTCCTAGCGCCGGCCCTTCACGGGCGGACTCCGGGCTTCTGTCGGTGTGAGGAGCTAATCCCGACGCCGCGGAGTCGGCCCCACTCGAGTCAGGTAAAAGACGCCGGCCAGAAGTCGCAAGGGCCCGGGGCGGCTCCCTGGCGGACGTGGTCCCAGCTGGCCTCGGTTTCTCTGTGGGCGCCGAGCGAGAACTGGTTTGGCCCGTTGCGGGCGGGGCGGGCGGTGAGCGGCCCAGGGCGGTCTCCGGGCCAGCAGGTCCTAGAACCCGCCGGCTGTCCCGCCCGCAGGCCGGCGGCTCGGGTCCCTACGCTCGGCCGAGGCGGCCGCCGGCCGTGCGCGGGGCGGGCCCGGGGGTCCTAGAGCCCGCCATGTTGCGGGCTTTTGTTCCCGCGGTGCGGCCGGCCGGCTCGGTCCTGGCGCCGGTGCCCCCTCCCCGCGAGGCCCCGCCGCCCTGCCGCGGTCCTAAAGAACGCCACCTTGCAGCGCCTTTGTCCCGCTTTCGGGCCTCCGTTCATTCATTTTTCATTCCCTCATTCTGTCGCGCTTGCCACGTTCGCTGAGGCCACGTTTTCCTAGGGTTTAGTCCCCAAACGAGTCAGCCTAGGGCCCTCCCTGCCCTGAGGAGCTGCCTGTCCTGCCGGAGCACCTACACACACGGTGGCAGAGAGGAAAGTAGGGCTTGTGCAGCCCTTGGCCCCTCCTCAGAGCGCCTGCTAAGCCCTAGCACCCTCCAGTCTCCCATACGCCTCAGGGACCCCATTTCTCTGAAGAAGAAATTGAGGCTCAGAGCACCGTGGATCCCTTACCTCTACTGTCCGTTAAGTACCCCCCATCTTATTGGTATATACATTTTGATCCTTTTCATTAAGTATGGAGTATTCGAAGGATGCAGAAGAGTTTTCTCTTGCAAGAAGGCAAGCAGAGGCTACTAGGCAGAGGGCATGGCATATAGAGGTGTCCAAATTTGAGGATTTGGGGGCCGGGATTTAGCTCAGTGGTTCCGCCACCTGCCTCGCAAGTGCAAGGACCCGAGTTCGATCCCCGGTACCAAAAAAATAAAAAACAAATTTGAGGATTTGGGCTGGGGCTTAGTTTTCTGACCAGAGGAGATTGCCACTGAAGCTGAGGCTGAAAAAGACCAGGTTTTAGGCCGAGAATATTAGTGTGCACCTCTGCACAGTTTTATCAACTCACCAGATCGCTTATGGCCTGTGAAGTTTATGTGATGACTACTTGTTTAAAGAGGGGGAGTATTAGGTGTCACCTTTTCACCTCATCCTTGCTCCCAGGACCTTAGCCTGAGCTTTTGGGGAGTTGAATCTCTGTATATAGTTGAGACAGCAGAACGTCATCCCCTACTAGGGGAGTGAGGCAAAGACACGACTTCATCACAATAGTGAACACACTGTGGAATAACCGAAGTGATATTTGGTCCTTGTGAACTTGGAAAGGACAACAAATTCAGTTCATAAATAGCAGTCTGACTGTTTTTCACAAACTCCTCCTATGGGAGAGGCAAAGCCTAAGACTGATTTGAATTCTATCTGAAGTTAATTCATGCTGTTTGCTTCAGGTGGCCAAACAGCTCTGGACATAGAGGATACACACAGTCAAGTTTCTGGGCTCTTCAGCCTGGACACCCAGTGTTGGAGGCAGATAATTAAGCCTTCAATGCCTAATGATTCAATTTTGGAACACCCATAACCATGTATCAGAGGTTTATCACTCTTCTGATTCCCTAGAAAAGGGGACTGCAAGGGCTAAAGAAAAAAAAAAACAATAGAGACTTGCATAGTTTCAAAGTACACGGGGTGGGGGTGGGGGTGGGGGTCAGTGCCTCGGAGCCGGCAAAGACAAAACACTCTGAGCTGGCCACTATTTATTGGGTGCACAGGGAGTATCAGATGTCTCAGAGGGTGGCAGTGATCCTACACCAATAAGGATCTTATGGTGATGAAGGTCTTAGGTCTATGAGGAGCTCATGTTGATTAGGATGATGAAATGAGCAAAGACTTCTTACAACAGTAGGTGGGATGAGCTGAGCTGATGAGGAACTTGTCTTTCTCCAGGTGAGATATCTTTCTTGTATTACTACTTGGTTCTCAAAGAACCTAGATGATTTCAGCTGATGTAATCCTGCCCTTGAGCCTCACAGCATCACGGGACTATTGAGGCCTCTGACAGCCCTAAATCATAATTTAATTGTGAAATGAGTTTTTCCCCAAAATTATGTAGAATGGCTCCCGACAACAGTGGATCATAATGAAATGTATTCTCTTCAAATTCTTGTTCCTTGAATTTTTCTAGATAATATATATATGAATTTCATGCAAAAATTTAAAAAATTTCAGTCTTCAGCATAAACGTGTTAACAACCAGAACATAAGAGGTATAAGTGCTATCAAAGCAATACTCATAAGAGAACAAAAGTTTGGGAGTCTGACCAGCTGGTTTTGAATACTGGCTGCTATTGCTAGTTACTTTGGTTCTCTGTGTTGGCACTTCTTTCAACTGTCAACTATCTTTTTTTTTTTTTTTTTTTTTTTTTGGTACCAGGGATCGAACTTGGGTCCTTGCGCTTGCAAGGCAGGCAGCAGAACCACTGAGGTAAATCCCCGCCCCCATAAAAAATTTTAAGAGGGGAAAGAGAATGATTAGCAGGATGCAGATAGCATTAAGAAAAGTAGTCAATGCCTCGCAAGCACAAGGTCCCGAGTTCAGTCCTTGGCACTGGGAAAAAAAAAGGTAATTAAGAAAGCCTTCTTTGAGGAAGTGGCAGGCAATTGAGACACAAAAGAACTCAGGAACACCTACACAAAGATCCTAGGGGAATAGTGGTTGTGACAGAGGAACTGCTAGTGCAAACACCCTAAGATAGGAAGGAATTGAGCTCTTTAATGAATAAAGGAGGTAGGTGGAACCTAGTGAGCTAGCTGGTGGAGAGGAGTTGGAGATTAGATGGACTGGGGCCTTGTTGATCATGGAAAAATATTGGTCTTTGTTCTGAGAATAGTGTTAAGATTTGGCTAAAGAAACCCCTCAAGTGAATAAAATTTGGTAGAGAAAGAGCCCAGCCCAGGGACCTGAAGACTTGAGTTTGAATATGGCCTCCTTGACTAGCTGGGTCCTTGTATATATTGTTTCCCATCTGGGGTCTTAATCTCCACATCTGAAAACAGATGTAGTAAAATGATTTGCTCCTAGGAGCATGTGAACACTGAAGGATGTGTCTTTGATTTTTATTTATTTTTTTGAGACAAGTTGTCATTATGTAGTTCAGGCTGGCCTTGAACTCACTGTATAGCCCAGTCTGGCCTCAAACTCACAGCAATGCTCCTGCCTCAGCCTCCCAAGTGCTCGGATTACAGGCATGTGCCACCAGGCCCGGCCAATTCTGTTTTTGTTTTTTGGGTTTTTTTCTTAAATGCTAGGGATCAAACCCAGAGCCTTGAATATGCTAGGCAAGCACTCTACCACTGAGGCTAGCCCATGTACCTGATTTTTTTTTTTTTTTTTTTAGACAGGGTCTTGCTATGTAGCCCAGGCTAACCTCAAACCTGCAGTGATCCTCCTGTCTCAGCCTCCTAGAGTGTACACCATCATTGATTCTTAAGTGTTGGGTGGAGTGATCCAGAAACTGTTTAAAATATAAATTCCTATGTCCTGCCTCAAGCTCCCTAGATGATTATTCTGGTACAAGAGACCTGCAGACTTCACTTGGAAAAATGTCATCCTAGGAAGAGTCCTCAGCAAAGTAAGGATTTGATAGTAGATTTGGACAGGCCTAGCTTACCCGGCCCTCCTCTCTTTATGGAATTGGGTGCCTGTTGGGACCAACCAGGTGTTCCCTTACCATTTCCCTGGGAGGTGCTTTAGCACGGTTTTATTCCTCCAGCAACCTAGTTTCTCTTTCACAGATACAGTATAAGACTGAGGCCTAGACCCGTCAAGGGCCAGAACAGAGGCCAAGCTCAGAACCAGCAGGCCCAGTCCCCTAAATGTGCTGGTTCTGATCTCAAGGCAGTTCTGTAGGGATAAGAGAAGATACAGGTGCAACTTGAGCTTAAGGTTCTGGTCACCATGGGGCAGGAAAAAGCTTGGGAGGTCTCAACACTGAGCAAGGGCCCAAAGACTTAGAACAAGTTACAACACCTGATTTCAAGTCCAACCAGTGTGACCAGGCAAGCCTTGTTACTCTTGGAACTTCAGTTTATTCATCTTTAAAACAGAGGCTGTAACTCCTATCTGAGGAGAATTAATAAGGTAGCATGCTCAATAAGGTTCAGGCTCTGAAAACTCTAATTGAGGGCAGTAATTACTCTTGTCTCATTCAAACCTCACCCAGCCCTCTGAGGTAAGTACTATTTTTACCTTCATTTTTCAGATGAGAAAACTGAGGTCCTAAGACATGCAATAAATTGCACAAGGTTACAACTGGAAAGTGATGGAGGCAAGATTTGAACCTGGGTGTTCTGGCTTCAAAGGCTGTGCGCTTAACCACAGTCCTGTACTGTTGGTCTGGACCTCAGTTCTATCTATGAAAAGAACTTTTCTCATGATGCTGACATGAAGGGTAAGTGAGTCAGTACACATAAAGAGCATGGGATACAACCTGGAATTTCGTAAGTGCTTAGTACACGTAAGCTATCCTTTTTTTTTCTTTTCTCTCTTTTCGTTTCTTTTTTTTCGAGTGTTGGGTCAGGGACTCACTTGTGCTAAGCAGACACTCTGCCACTAACCTGTAACCCCAGCCTGCTACCCTTAATTTTCACAAGGAGAAACTTTATCAAGCAGACTGTCTGGAGTTAGCCTGGTAGGAGATAGTCTCTCGTCCAGAGATAGGGCTGGATCCCTTAGGCACTGTAAGAGAAATTTATGCTGTTGAAACCAAGCCCTTTAACTCAGCTTCAAGCCCCAGGATTTAGTGGGAAAAGTGAAATAACCAAGTGGAGGGCAGAATGGAGTTATATGGGATTGGGGCCAAAACAAAGAGGATGTGCAGGAAGAGCCTAGGGAAAGTGGGGCTCAAACGAAGCATTGGTAGGATTTGGAATGACCAGGATGGATAATGGGATGGAAGCCTTGGAAAGTTTGTGAACAGGGGATGGAGCATCACATGTGCTTTATGGAGATGACTCTGGCTGCATGGGGTGAGGGGCGGGATAGTGGGTAGGACTGAGGACCTGCAGGCAAAAGGGTGCTGACTTGAAGCCTTTGCCACTCACTGGAGGGGCTTCTGGGTCCAGGAGGTAAGCTGTGCCCTTTCCTTGTGTAAAGGCCCCCAAGCCTGGCTCCACATTTCCCTCTGCACCCTGCTGTCTTAGCTCCGCTCCATCCTCCGCCTTACCCTGTGCCATGACTTAGAAACCTCCCACCGCACAGGTATACAGACAAAGAAACCAGGCCTAAAACAACTACTGATTTCACTAAGGCCTTACAGTAAGTCATCCAAAGGGCTGGCAGCAGAGCAGAGTACAGGCCTCCTAGCCCTGGGCACACCTGGCTCTTCTACCCTCTCCCACCTTACTCTCCAAACTGCAGCTGCTGCTCTCCTTAAGTGGATCTGCTGTAATCCTCTTCTCTTCATCCCCTGGGAGGATGAGCTGCTCCTAAGGCTAATGCAGCTGTTAATCCTATTTCCTCCCAGTCATGATCCTAGGAGCAGCTGTGTGGCTGTATCTGAGCTCCAGACAGAAAGTAGGGACCTCGGCTAGAGCTGGTGTCCCAGGAGGCCTCACTAGATCAGATACATAGGTTATGATAGAGAAAGAGGTTTCTGGCTGCTAGTGGCTCAGGCTGAGAGTGTGCTCCTAATACCAGAGTTGTGGGAGCAGGAGCCCAGCAGAGATTCCACTGCAGAAGAGGGTGGACTAGGATTCCTGCCTGGGTTGGAGTCCCTTATGGTGTACAAGGCCAGACTCGGAACAGCTGCATCTCTGAGAGCTGACCAAGCAGAGAGGGGTACAGCACATACATGTGAGGGGCTTGTCACTCCCACACAGCACCACCCACTCCATGTAGCCATCCTCCGCACTTAGGCCTGTCTGCCGGCCCCACAGCTGGTCACCCTCTGCTCTGTCACCTTGCACACGACCCTGAGCTGAGAGTAGGACAGATGGAACCGAGGCATTGTGGGGTGCCATGGAGTTGGGAAGCCCAGAGGTTGGGGAGAGCCGTACAAGGAGACCTTTTGTGACGCTAGACCCTCTCTTAGCCTGAGACCCTCACCAGGTTCATTCCTCCCTCAGTGAGCAGAACACAGAGGAGACTTAAGCTCAGGGTCAGAGCTGGGAGTGTTGGCAGGGACCTTGTGGGAGTCCCTGATTTGTGCTGAGCATACCAGGTGGGCAGTGCGGTGAGATAAGTTCGCTCTGAGGCCCTCAGAGGCCTGGAGACTAGCCAAGGGATTTGGCTTTGGCCTAACTTTGATTGTCTTGCAGAGAAGCCCCACCCACTACGCCCATGGAGGTGGAGGCCACGTCCCCAGCCCCTGGGTACCAGCGCTGTGGCCGCCGCTATAAGTGCCTGGCCTGCACCAAGACCTTTCCCAACGCGCCCAGGGCCGCGCGCCACGCTGCCACGCATGTGCCTGTGCACCGCGCAGAGGAGGTGGCAGAGGTGCAGCCAAAGCAGGACACTGACGCCAAGGGGGAAGAGGCCAGTGGCGACAAAGGCTCGGGCTCAGGGGCGAAGCCCCGGCCCTACGCGTGCCCGCTGTGCCCCAAGGCCTACAAGACGGCGCCTGAGCTCCGCAGCCACGGGCGCAGCCACACGGGCGAGAAGCCCTTCCCGTGTCCCGAGTGTGGTCGCCGCTTCATGCAGCCCGTGTGCCTGCGCGTGCACCTGGCGTCGCACGCGGGCGAGCTGCCTTTCCGGTGCGCGCACTGCCCCAAGGCCTACGGCGCGCTCTCCAAGCTCAAGATCCACCAGCGAGGCCACACCGGGGAGCGGCCCTACGCCTGCACTGACTGCGGCAAGAGCTTCGCAGATCCCTCGGTGTTTCGCAAGCACCGGCGCACGCACGCGGGGCTGCGGCCCTACGGCTGCGAGCGCTGCGGCAAGGCGTATGCGGAGCTCAAGGACCTGCGGAACCACGAGCGGTGAGCGCACCTCCCTCCGCTTGTGCACTTCGGCAGCTGCTGGGGCGGAGCCGGGGGGCGGGGCGGCGGGGCGGGGGGCGGTGCCCAGGCACGGCTAAGCCCTGGCCCGCACAGGTCTGGATGCGCTGCGCGGAGGTCCGACCTGGCGGTTTCTAACTCTCGGGCACAGCCCTGTGGCCCTTGGCGGACCGGGCCCAGGAACCCGGGGGTGCTCAGGGCCCCACAGTGGTCAGCAAGGCGCTACCACCCTCACGGACACCCCTCCCTGCGCCACAGGTCCCACACTGGGGAGCGCCCCTTCCTCTGCTCCGAGTGCGGGAAGAGCTTCTCCCGCTCCTCGTCCCTCACCTGCCACCAGCGCATCCACGCCGCGCAGAAGCCCTACCGCTGCCCCGCCTGCGGCAAGGGCTTCACGCAGCTCAGCTCCTACCAGAGCCACGAGCGCACGCACTCCGGGGAGAAGCCCTTCCTGTGCCCGCGCTGCGGCCGCATGTTCTCCGACCCGTCCAGCTTCCGGCGCCACCAACGCGCACACGAGGGCGTGAAGCCGTACCGCTGCGACAAGTGCGGCAAAGACTTCCGGCAGCCGGCCGACCTGGCCATGCACCGACGCGTGCACACGGGCGATCGGCCCTTCAAGTGCCTGCAGTGCGACAAGACCTTCGTGGCGTCCTGGGACCTCAAGCGGCATGCTCTGGTGCACTCGGGCCAGCGGCCTTTCCGCTGCGAGGAGTGCGGGCGTGCCTTCGCCGAGCGGGCCAGCCTGACCAAGCACAGCCGCGTGCACTCGGGCGAGCGCCCCTTCCACTGTGGCGCCTGCGGAAAGTCCTTCGTGGTGTCCTCCAGCCTCCGGAAGCACGAGCGGACCCACCGCAGCAGTGAGGCCGCCCCGCCAGAGCTGGTGGTCGGGTTGGCACTGCCGGTTGGTGTGACAGGCGAGAGCCCCGCCACCCCCGGCGCAGCCACGGGCCTCGGGGACCCTCCGGCGGGGCTGCTAGGGCTGCCCCCTGAGTCCAGCACTGTAATGGCCACGCAGTGGCAAGTGGTGGGCATGACGGTGGAGCACGTGGAGTGCCAGGGTCCAGGCGTTGGGGAGGCTCCGGGCCCCGTAGGATTGGCAGGGGTTGAGGAGGCCGATAAGAAGCCCCCACAGTTTACTTGTCGCGAGTGCAAAGAGACCTTCCCCACGCTGACCTTACTGCGGCGGCATGAGCGGTCACACCCTGAGCTGCGGCCCTTCCCCTGTTCCCAGTGTGGCAAGAGTTTCTCAGATAGGGCGGGGCTGCGCAAGCACAGCCGCACTCACAGCTCGGTGCGCCCCCACGCCTGCTCCCACTGCCCCAAGGCTTTCTTAAGTGCCAGTGACCTGCGCAAGCATGAACGCACTCACCCTGTGTCGGTGGGGACCCCCATACCGCTGGAGCCGCTCGTGGCTTTGCTAGGAATGCCTGAAGAGGGGCCGTCCTGAGGCCCGGTCCCCTTCACCACAGTCCCTGTTGGAGGGCCCTGCCCCCACAGGGACCGCTTGAACTGCTTTGTGCTCCTCCAGCTCTTTAGACTCCAGGTTCCTGGCCCTTGGGCAACTAGTTCACCTGCCACAAAATGGAGAGCTGGGGACAGTAGAGGCAGGCAGCGGCTGAGAGGGTTCTTTGTGGACACTTACTGAAGCATCCGCTTTGACCTTGGGCTACCTTCTGTGTCTGGCTGAGGGTGAGTAGATGGACCCGGACAAGAGAAGAGGTTCTGTGGAGACCCCCAGACTGACGGGTCGTTAGATGTATTGTTTCCCAAGGTGTTTTGGGATCTCTTGTGACAAAGGACTTCAAGGCCAAGTAAGTAGAAAGTTCCCCATCCTCTTCTTGGAAAATTTTAGTAAAGGCATCAAACCAGGTATGATGCACACACCTGTAATCCCAGCTACCTGGGAGGTTGAGGCAGGAAGACCACAAGTTTGAGGCCAGACTGGGCAATTTAGCAAGATCCTGTCTCACAATTTTTTTTAAAAGGGCTAAGGATGTAACTTGGTGCCCTCTGGGTTTGATCCTCAGTTCCAGAAAAAGCTGGATGTGGTGGTGCATGCCAATAGTCCCGGCACTCGAGGCTGAGGCAGGAGGATTGCTGTGAGTTCAATCCTGGGCTGCATAGTGAGCTCAAGGCCACCTGAATTACATAATGAGACCCTGTCATCAAAAAAAAGTCCTGCAATGAACAAATCTGTGTAGCTTTGTTTAGCCCATACTTGTATGACCATAGAAACCTCTTACTGAGTAGTTTTTTGCTTTGTTTTTGTTTTGAGAGAGGGTCTTGCTACAGTTCAGGCTGGCCTCAAACTCACAGCGATTCTCCTGCCTCAGCCCTGAGTAGTTTATAGATAACCTGAGGCCAAAATTTCCTCCTGTCCATTATAGTAATAAATTAGAAAATATGCTTGGATGAAAGGGTTCCTATAACAACAACAGAAAGATGTAAACTAAAAAATACAACTCACAAGAAATGTGCAAAATCTCTATAAAGAAAATGATGGATCTGGCCTAAAGTATAAAACCTAAGTACTTGAGGGCTGGGGATTTGTCTCAGTGGCACCGTCCCTGCCTCCCAAGTGCAAGGTCCTGAGTTTGATCCCTGGTACTGCAAAAAAAACCCTAAGTACTTGGGAACATGGAAAGTTGTTTCTAAAAGATGTTGATATTCCTACCCCAGTTTAGTCTTTGAATTTGTTAGCATTCTAAAATCTTTTTTTAAACAAAAATCAAAAGCAGTACCTTTTTGTGTGTGTGTTGGGGAATGAACCCAGAGCCTTGTGCATGCTAAGGGACAAGCCCTACTGCTAATCTAAACTCCCTACCCGACAATACAATTTCCAAAAACAGTAGAGGCAGTGTATTTGACATACTGGATAATCAAACATCAAAGCACTGAAATAAAAATAGTATATCATTAGCATAAAATAAATTAATCAAAGGAGGGGGGATTCAGAAACAGCCTGAATGTTTCTATGAATTTATAATAAATGATTGTTCAAATAAATGGGAAAAGGACAATATTAAGTACCTTTCCTTGAAAGTTAGTGTGAGGCTCCGAGTTCAGTCCCTAGCACCATTTAAAAAAAAAAATTTCAAAAAGTATGTCAAATGGAAAAAACAAGGTGCAGCTAAGATTTGGGAGGGGAAAAAGAACAAGGTATAAAGTTATGTAGTTAGTATGCTCCTCTCTGGGCCAAATTACATGTAAGTGCTCCAATTCTCAGAGTATTTCTAGGATACTCAAGAACTGATTCTAGGTTATAAATTCTAGCCACTAGGGCCTTCTCCATTACCAAGACAGCCGAAGGTCAGCATGAAGGCGAACATACTTCCTGTGCTCCTATCTCAATATTTGGGTTCCACCGTGTCGCAGTGTTGGGGAGTAACATCTCCAGGCGTGGGTGCCAGGCAGGACATTGTAGCAGTTGACTGTGGCTCAGAACAGGTACACAGGTGGCAAGGACAAGGAGCAGAATAGCCAGTGCCCCTCTGATGGCCAGGGCCCCCCGTTTCAGGCCCAGACCCTCAGACACCAGGTTTCAAAGGGCCTTCAAGTGTGGGGCAGAGCTCAAGGATAGAGTGCTGGCCTAGCATGCTCAGGGCCTTAGGTTGATCCTCAGCACTGCAAAACAAATAATAACATTTGTAAATTGATAAAGAGGTGCTGTATATATGCTGGTCCACAGGTAGCCTTGGGTGCCCATCAGCAGTGAGGGATGAAATGAGTTCCATGAATGTTCTTGATCACTAGCCCTTTCTCAGCCAGAAATCCCTCCCTGGGCCTCTGCCCTTCTGACACTCCAGGTGTTTGATCCCTTGGCCTGAGTCCCCTGAGGGCACACACATGTGACTTAAAATGTCGTTCACATACCATAAAATTAACCTGCTTGAAGTGTACAACTCTTGTCTTCAGTTTATTCACAGGGTTTTGCAGCCATCACAGTATAATTCTAGAGTATTTTTATACCCCTAAAAAAGAACATCTGCAGACCAGTTGTCACACTCCTCCCTCACTACCAGAAGCCCTCATCCCTAATGAATCCCTGATCCAGTTTGTCTATGGATTTGTCTATTCCAGACATTTCAAGTAAATGGAATCATACAATATGTGGTCTTTTGTGACTGACTTCTTTTCACTTAACAGTGTGGTTTCATTCATTATATAGCTTATATCCATACCTTACCCCTTTTGTCAAGTAATATTCTGTGATACGAATCTATCACTGTGTGTCTCTTTTACTTGGAACTGATCGCAAGGCCTTTGAACTGAAGTACATCCCCACATTTATTTGTTTGTTTGGTTTTGGTTTTTTGAGATAAGTTCTCACTAAGTTCATGGTGATCCTCCTGTGTTAACCTCCCAAGTGCTGGGATTGCAGATGGGTACCACACACCTGGGTTCATCTAAGTTTTTTTTTTGGTACCAGGGATCAAACTCGGGTCCTTGCGCTTGCGCAGCAGGCGGCGAAACCACTGAGCTAAATCCCTGGCCCTCATCTAAGTTTTATAGCTAAAAGTTGTTTAAACATTTATTATAAACTAGTCACAACTGGGTGTGGTGGTCCATGCCTGTAATCCCAGCACTCAGGAGGCTGAGGCAGGAGGATTGCTGTGCGTTCGAGGCCAGCTTGGGCTGCATAGTGGGTTCAAGGCCAGCCTGAACTACAGAGCAAGGACCTGTCTTAAAAAAAAACTAATTACAAAGTTATAAAGGTTTTATAACTATAGCAGCTTTTACAGCTAAAGGTTCTCACATTTAGATACCCATTTTGAGGTAATTTGTGCATATAGTTTGAGGTAAAGGGTCTATCTTCATTCTTTTGTGTGTATTTCTACAATTGTCCTAGCATTATTTGGGTTTTTATTAGTTATTGTTAATTTTGGTAGGTTTTTTTTAAAAAGCAGTATTTGTTGAAAAGACTCTTTATTGAATTGTCTTCATATCCTTGTTGAAAACAAACTGTAGGGCCGGGGATTTAGCTCAGTGACACCGTGCCTGCCTCACAAGCACAAGGTCCTGAGTTCAATCCCTGGTACCGAAAAAAAAAACAAACTATAAATGAGGGGTTTCCTCCCATAATCTCAACTTTCTTCACTGTATGAGAGGCATAAAGAGATTTGGGGGCCAAATTTTAAAAGTACACACTTAAGTAGAGTTTGGGCCCCCCAGAGATAACCCCATACTTTCAACTTTATTCCATTGGTCAGTGTAGCTAGCTGTCTATGCCAGTACTGCGCGCACGCGCGTGTTTGTGTGTGACAGGTCTCACTATGTAGCCCAGGCTGTTCTCCAATTCACAGTGATCTGCCTGCCTCAGCCTCCCAAGTGCTGGGATTACAAGTGTGTGCCACCACACCTAGCTATAGCTTTCTTGTAAATTTTGAAATTAGGACCTATGAGTCTCCAACTTGTTCTTCTGTTTCAAGATTATTTTTCTTTGAATCCCTTGCACTTCCATTTGAATTTTACTACCAGCTTATCGAGTTTTGCCATGGGAGAAATAAAAGCTAGACAGGACTTTGGTATGGATTGGTTAGATTAATTGATCCATTTCAGGGATGTTGACATCCTAACAATATTAAATCTTCTGACCCAGAAGCATGGGATGTTTTTCATTTAGTTAGATCTTTAACAGAGGTAAAGTTTTATTAAAGGTAGGAAAAGAAACAGGCTCTGCGGAGTGAGTTTGGGCTAAGTAAAAGTGGGAAAGGAAGTGCAACCTACAGCATGAAGCGGGCCACCATGCAAGAGCACACAGCGGCCTGTATCTTTGCCACTGAGCTAAATTTCTAGTCCCTGTATATCATTCTTGTATTTTACAACCTTGCTGAACTTGTTTTAGCTCTAACAGTTGTATGTGTGTTTGTTGTATATCCCTGAGGATTTTCTATATACAAGAACATGCTGTCTGGTAGTTCACTTCCTTTCCAATCAGGGCAGCTTTTATTTCTTTTCATGCCTTATTTACCAGGCTGGAACTTTGAGCACAGGTTATACAGGCGTGAGCAGCCTTTAGCTGGGCGTGGTGGCACACACCTGTAATCCCAACACTCAAGGCAGGATTGCTGGGAGTTTGAGCTCAGTTAGGTTTCCATAGTGAGTTTAGGGCCAGCCTGAACTACATAATGAGACCCTGTCTCAAAAATAACCAAAAACATGGGCTGAGGATTTAGCTCAGTGGTTCCACTGGCTCCCTCACAAACGCAAGGACCCAAGTTCGATCCCTGGTACCAAAAAAAAATATATGGCAGATGTGGTGCATGCCCATAATCCCAGCACTCTGGAGACTGAGGTAGGAGGATTGCTGAGATTTTTGTTTTGGTTTTTGAGACCATCTCCCTGTATCGCTCAGGCTGGCCTTGAATTCACTTTGTAGCCCAGGCTGGCGTCAGACTCACAGCAATCCTCCTGCCTCAGCCTCCTGAATGCTGGGATCACAGGCATGCATCACCACGTCCGGCCTGATTGCTGAGATTTTGAGGCCAGCCTGGGCTACATAGTTCAAAGCCAGCCTAAATGAATTACATAGTGAGACCCTGTCTTAACCGCCCCCCAAACAACCCCAACCTGGGCATTTAGCCAGACCCTGTCTCACACACAGACACAAAAAAGCTGGAGATGTAGCTCAGTGTAAAGGCCCTGAGTTCAATCCCCAGTACTTAAAAAATATTTCCTGCATTTATATAAATGCTCATATGGCTTAATCTGTATTAAATTAATTGATTTTGGGGTTTTCAGTCATCCCTGTATTCCTGGAATCAATCCCACTAGGCCATACTGTATAATATTTTTTAATACATTGCTGGGTTTACTTTGCTACTGTGTTGGTGATGTTTGTGTCTGTATTCATAAGGATATTCTGTTGTTTTCTTGTGACGCCTTTGCCTAGTAAGACAGTCTGCTGCTGTACCTCACTTGTCCTCTGTCCCACATCCCTTACTTCCCCAGTTCCCTTGCAGGTCTTCCCAGGTCGTTGCATCTGGGAAACGCAGAATCATAAGCCCTGGCCTCAGCTTCTAGCCCGTATGGTGCACTGTGGGCATGCGCATCCCCTTGCAAGTGACCAGATGAGTCTGGGTCACCCCAGACCCTGAACTCAATCCCTAGCACAGAACAGAAGATAGAGAGGGAGGGGAAAATGAAAGAAAAGGACAGGTCTGGGGGAGAAAGAATGGAAGAAATGAGGCTTCTCAGAGGAGCATGCGCTAGGATGCGCTGAGGCTGAGGTGGCAGGATCTGCTGGTAGAGCGTTTATTTTGGATTCACCTGAGGAGGCTTGGAGACCAATTCAGGACTGCCATGGCCCACTCACAATTGCAGTCTCTCCTCCTGGAGGCTGCCTTCGTTTCAGTCTCCACCCCAGCCAGAACCTCACCTCTCACCTACTTGGGCAACAGGACCCAGCCCAAGCAACCTTCTGATTTGTTTGTTCCCAGCTTTGGGACTTATGCCTGTGCTGTTCCCTGGGGATGGGTGGAACCCACTGCTGTAGATTAGCCCATGATGTCTGTCTCAGTTGAGTGTCACTAGATTAAAAAAAAATTATTTTGACACAGTTTCGTGCTATGTAGTGCAGGTTGGCCTTGAACTCACAGTGATCGATCCTCCTGCCTCAGCCTCCCGAGTGCTGGGATTACAGTAGATTAAATTTTTTTCTCCTCCTCTTCTTGCTGTTTTTGGGGGTGGAGGGGTCAGGATCTTGCTAAATTGCCTAGGCTGATCAAGCTTGTGATCCTTCTGTCTCAACGTCCCAAGTAGTTGGGACTACAGTCAGGCACTATCATGCCTTGCAACTACATCATTTCTCTTGTTGCACAATAAATTACTACACATTTAGCATCTTAAAACAGTACCCATTTATTTCCTCATAGTTCTGTAGGCCAGAAGAACTTGGCTGAGTTCTCCATTTAGGTCTCAGGAAACTAAGCCAAGGTGGTGGACAGCTTGGGCTCTTACTAGGGGTTCTGGTGTAGAATTCACTTCTAGACTCATCCCAGTTATAAAAGAATTCAGTTCCATTTGGCTTTAGGATTGAGATCCCTATACAAAGGTCCCTGCCACACACCTGTAATCCTACAGGCAGGAGGCTCACTGCAAGTTCAAGGCCACCCTGGAGTACGTAGACTATCTAGAAAAACAAAAAGGTCGCTGAGGTTTCTTTGCCAGCTGTCTGTCATCCAGAGGTGGTTTTCAGCTTCTAGAAGCTGTCTGCATCCCTCGGCTGCAGCCCCTCCACTTAGTAGTGACCAAAGGCACATGGAATCCTCCTGCTTGTTTCCTCTGATTCATTCTGCCTTCCTTTTTCTGTTGCTGGCTGAAGAAATTTCTCTGCTTTTAACCACTCATGTGACTACACTGGCTTGTCTATAAATAATGCAAAATAATCTCCCTAGTTTAACTTCAGTTAGCCGTAGTTAACAACCTTAATTACATCTAAGTATCTTTGTCATGTGAGGTAACATACTCATGGAGATGAGTCCATGAAATATGAAGGGTCATTATTTTACCTGCCACATTCCACCCTGAAACTCAGAGTCAAGTCTGAGCCTGGCACTCTAAAAGGGCGAGGGAGGATTGAAAACTCCAGCCAAGCCCAGGCAACTTAGCAACTTTAGACCCTCTCACAAAATAAAAAGTGAAAACAGGTGGGAATGCAGTGCCATGCGATGACCTTGGATTCAGTTGTCAGTGCCACAAACGAAAAAGGTTCTGTCCTACATGTAAAACACATTCCTAAAATTCTCATTCTCTTACAGCAAGTCAAAGTAAACAAATATATTTATCTCCTATCAAAAGCCCTAAATCTCATCATCTAAGTCGGATACAGATGAGGCTTCAGGCAGTCCATCCTGGAGCACACGGCCCCATCTGGGACCCAAGAACAGGAGGCCTGTGCTCCCGGGACACAGCAGCAGTGTGACCGCAGGATAGTAGGACGAGCCTGCTCAAAAGGGGCACAGACAGAAAGTGAAAAGGAGTCACAATACAAAGCAGTTAAAAAATCCAGCCGGGAAAATTCTCTTAGGTTATCAGGCCTAGAAATAATCTTCAGGCTTTGTTCTGCCCTCTGAGCTCTCAGTTCCACCCTCTAGATTAGTCCAACTCC